TATTTCTTGCAAACAATAATATGGTAACTGACCATTTCAATTTTAGAAAACAGAAACATATTTCAGCGCTTGTCTAAAAAGTCATTTTTTTATATCGATCGTTCTAAATTTCACAATTTGCAGTATAAATTTGAAGTTACCGAGATATTACAAGTGCCCCGATTGGTCAAAAACCTCTTGTTTATCGCACCGGTAAACCAATAGAAAATTGAGGTTTATCTTACATTCGAATAGACCGCACTTTCTATAAGTTTTGTGGTGTAATGGATACGAAAAATCTACAAATTACTCGCTTTAAACTTTTCTCGTGCTCTATCAACACCCCAAGTAGGTTTTTGGCCAATCAAGGCGCTTGTTGGAAACCGGTAAAGCCATAGAAAGGGGAGGTTTATCACAATATTTCACCTGACAGATTACTTGTTTCTTGAAGCTCACAGTTTTCCTTGAGCTTCCTTTTCAGCCGACACTTTTCACTTCTGGGAAAGATGAAATCCGTAGACAAATATTCAAGCATGTTCTCGCGTCCAATGAAAACTGAAGTTTGTATGACTTTATTAAAATTCATTGCAATTTACATATCTCGTCCCCTCTAACACTTCGTCTTCTCCCATGCACTGGCTAATTTTAACGCAACTGACAAACTGTTAAATAAAACCCCAATTCTTTTGACACAGTTTTCCCGTTCTCTTCTGCCCATTGAGGAGATTGCCTAAACCTCTCTTTACACTAAAATAGCCGCTGCTCCTGATCGCTGTACAAATTTGTAGTGAGGTAAAACAACCAAAAACCTCATTCATCCCCAGTTCCCAGGTTTATTTCGTCGCTCGACCGAAAATTGCTTTAATTGCTTTTATCAATTAGAAACCTTTGAACAAACATTTTAAACCTACATTACGTCATAATTGTGATAATAATAATTAACTTGACTTGACCTCATGGAGAGCTGTAATCCATTTTTCCATGTCAATAACTTCGTGACGAGGGAGGATTCACACTGTTCTAATAATATTTGCAGGTAGGAAAAACACGTAACTATCACAGCTAAAAATGGAAATGTTTTAGAATTAACCAAAGATGAAGTATGAACAATCCACTGCGCGCGTGGCAAGTCAGCAAAAGATTGTTTGAAAATCGTAAAAATTAGGACTCGGCAACAAAATGCAATTAATTAAAACAGAAACTTTGTTGATAACTGTCTTACATCACCTGGAATTTTAAGAAATTTATTTTCTTCAGGATTTCGAATTCTAAGTCGGTTTTCTCAAGCTGTTGCAGGAACTTGCAGGGACTTGCCAACCTCGACGGCGACGGCAACAAAGACACGCAAAACAAAGGATCTAGTGGGTGGAAGAATAACTCTGCACGTGCGTTTTAAAACTTATGACTTTTTCAGCCCTCCTCTGCAAAACAACAACGTGAAATTGCCAAAATATGCGTAGGCTGGGGCCCTCTTTACATGAGTCCGGTTGACCGACTGGCTCGTTTACCGAGACGAAATTGTTTGGGGTTCATGGGAGAAATTTCAGCCCGCTGACTAAAACGAGAAAAGGCGCTAAGATCCTGGAGACTAGTTTTTACGCGACATTTGAGAAACAAAACAAAAATGAACACATCGTCTGCATAAAGCTTCGTCATTTCCACTCGCAATTCCTGATGTCAGATTCGTTTGTCCGCGTCAAAAACTGAAGTTTCTGTATTCCATTTTAGATTTATAGTCATTCAAAGGTCATGCCAAAGAAATCTTTTCGATTTCGAGGACGAAAAAATATGCTCATTTGCCACGCTGTCTGAAGCCGTACTCCGCCAACGGCTTAATCGGTGACATACGTAGTTGGAAAAATATTCTCCCCGGGGAACTGAGCGCGAGCCTAAGTGTTCATATGGGAAAATTTTTCGGCCCGGTTCCCAATCGAGATCTGGTGAACCGAGCCAGATCACCCGCTCATTTGAACACCTCTTAAGGAGCAGGGATGTGTCGAGATCTCGGAAACCGGGCACATATGAAGAGACCCAGAGAACAGAGACCGAGGACAAATTTTTTAATTTTCCATCTGCCGTCCTGGCTGTTAAGGTCACCGGTGAATTGAAGCGTCAAATTGCGTACTAGATGTAAAACGGTTCAAAATACCCATACTCGCGCCATCTCAGTTTCCTTGCTTTCTTGTTTCCAATCTTCCAGCCTCAGTTTTTCACTGCAAATGCTCGCGAATGATCTGTCACATGCATTTGAATTAAAATGGGACACTTACAAAATTTCCATAAATAGCATAAGCTATGTTCGCGCGATAACATAGCTTTTACCATTTAGGGAAAAGTTTAACATCCATACAATCATGGAAAGATTTTTACAATCATGGAAAGACTTTCAGTGAACGTCTGAGAGACGTTCACTGAAACCTATATCTAAAAAAAATATTTTGACTGACATCAAATTTATCAAACGTACCTAGAAATTTCTTCCAACCTAGACTTGACAAACAGAGTTGCTAGGCAACAATAGTACTTCCACGAATCGGCGAGCGGCGAGGTTACAGTACTTGGTGATGACGATAATTTGCATACCCTAAGCAAAAAAAAAAATGAAATCAGAATCAAAGGAATTTCTTCAATACCTGTATACTTTTTGGATATTTTCTGTACATTAAAGGGTACACGGAAAGCGTTGTCTCAAGTTTGCCTTGTCTCTTAATCAAATATTTATTTGATCTAAAAGTTTACTTTATGCGCAAGAAAGTTTTGCAAATGTAAAACTAACCTGCGCGTTCTTCTTGAAACAGTCATCGTTAGATTTTCGTCAAAAATGATCAGGGCAGTGTGACTATGATAACCAGCAAAGTGTTTAAAATAGCTCCAGCTACAAGATTGTTTTTGGATTTTAGTCTTTCCCTAATAATCGTTCAAATGATAACAACGGTTGTGTGATTGATACCGCTAATGTTTACTAGGATAACAAAGTGACGAAGATGAATTATGGTTGACTTTTAATGAACTCGTTAAAAATTCAGTGGGATGTTTTCGTTCGTCTTTCGATAGAAAGTCTCAAGGTTGAGCGTTCTGTTTTATTTGTCTATTTAAAGAAAATTATTTTCTTGCGTTGATCAGTTATTTTGAAGTTTGTGACGCAAACTTTAAGTTTTGTAAATGTGTAGCGCAGATATTGCTAAGCATTCTGTAAATGACTACTGAGTCGCTGTCTATGCCATATAAATTTTCTACTGGTGGCAGTTAACAAACAGCTTCTCTTCACAATCGTCGATCACTTAGCTCTCAAACTGTAACACGATCTATTTGCGTCTCATTAGGAGGCCGGTTGCCGGTGTGGTTAAAGAAAACGCCAGAATCCAAACGGAATTCTTACATTACGCAAATACTTCAAAACTTTCTCTTACTGCATGACTGCACCGCTCGATAGCATGAATTTGCGCGCAATACATTAGGACGTTGCTATGCCTATGAAAACATTTCACAGATCATCCAATTTAGGTGATATGAAGAACTCATGAAGAAATGAAACCAAGTCAATAAGCCATTTCAAACAGAACAAAACATGAGATTTAGAGGATAACTTTTAACCAAATGAACCAATAACAAGCGCGGGAAATCGGCTCTAAAGTAATCCGGTGCACAATGCCTTATGTGAGAAACAATTAAGCCTCAGAATTGTAAGCACACTTTCATTATCATTCATAGGCTTCCGAAAATGAAACAGATCGCGTTCGTTTATTATGCACGATATGCTTATAGCCCGTTGTTCCTGGCAACGCATGGAAATAAGTACTTTCCTCTGACGCTTTGACATTTTTGTTTTCGTATATGTCTTTTTGTGCCTTTTCACCTGTTTTGCGTTCATAGCTTTTAAATACTAACTTTCCGTGAATTTTTCTGAATTTCTGTTTCGTTATATCTTACTTTAATCATTGTTCAAACTAAATCATTCTGGTTGTTGGATCTCAGATACTATTTCTGGCATTTAACTTTCGGTCTAAGGAGATGCTTTGGACGATAGAAATAAAGATGTTCTATAGACTTATTTTTACATCGAGGTTTTTATAGTCTTGAGTGCATATTGTTTTTCGCGAATGGAACTTTTTCAATGAACCCCATATAAAAAACGTTTTTAATCTTGAAGGACAAATTATTCCTTTTTTTGCTTTCCTGCTTGCGGTCTTATAGAGTTCCATTAGTAATCCGCTTAGCATAACACGTAATTGTCAAAATAGTGTAGAACAGGTGATGCAAAGTGCAATAGATTACAGTATACATGTCGATTGTCTCGAAAACTGATATTGTCAGAAAACAAGTGTCTACAATAGGCTTGCAAAACTCCAACCGTGATATCTTGCCCCTAAATTGATAGCGTTTGATAGACAGTTTCAAATTCTAACAAAGGAGATGGAAATTTCATAACACCTGCCAAGAAAACAGGCGAAAAGATAAATTAAGAACTTCGCATATAGAATACTTTTACTGCAGTTGAGTGCAAGAATGTTATATAAAAGCTGTCGATGAAAAATAACTTTTTTGCAATTCGTATTGCAGTTTGTAAGAACTTTTATATTAATTTACCTAAAATTAGCTCTAGGACTGAATTATTAGTTATTAGCGCAAAGGTTTCGCAGTTCGCAAGGAATCACACGAACAAAAGACACTAATTGTGGGCCGAAGTTTATTAAGTATTTATGAACAATTTTCCTGTGCTCTGAGGAAAAACACCATAAGTTCTGTGAACATTTCTAAAGGTTCACTTTTCTCTCACGGTGTAATATTTTATATTTCTGCTAAGAGATTTTTCTGTCTCTACAAAACAGACAAGCACGTGGCTTATCAGACTACCGGAAGTGAGTTTTTCAACACGGTTGGATTTACGAAAGCCAATCACAAACCGGTATTTCGACAGCTTATTGTCTTTTGCACCAATAAGCGTTCGAGTGGTGGGGCCGCACGGTAACATAGCAACCATCGACGCCACCGGATATATAGCAGTTTTTGGTTACACTAAACAGACATAGTTTTACACTCCATTAAAGCAACTTTTAAGGAGTTGTAAAGTACTCATCGTCAAGAAAATTCGAGTAATCTTCCCGTTATTTTCGCAGAGGAGTTAATCAGAAGACAGGATACGCGAGATGACGCAGTCTTTTGTAGAAACAGCGAAGTTTCTTTCTTCATCGACCTTCGATCCTCCTCCATATCTGAGACCACCAGGCGGACCGTATGAGACAACATACACAGCATCGTTTCAAACTGGCCGGCCATACACATCACCTCACTACTCTCTTAGACCTCTATCAAGGTCTTTTGAATTTCCTTCCAAGATACTGAACGGATCTTCCACTGGATTAGAACATTTACCGTACACAGCCGTCACACAGCGCGCTATACATAAATACACTCCACAGCAATGGCGAACCTCGAACGTTCTTAATGTTTCCTCAGGCGAGAAGGAACGAGCGACCGCGGAGAGGCTTCGAGATGACTGCGCGCGGCTTCGAACAGAGACAGCCCTTCTCACACACCGCACGCAGACAGATGTCAACAAGAAGCTAGAGCATCGCATCCATGATATAAGTTACTGGAAGAACGAGCTCGAGAAACAACATGCCGAAACGGTCGCCGAGATCAAGGCCCTTCAGGCGTTTATCGGCCGCTTGGAAAAGGCCTTAGCAGCAACAGAAAAGCCTTTGAATGTCGCAAAGCAATGTCTGGATTACAGAGAGAGAAGAGTCAAGATCGATCTTGTTCATGATAATGTGGAAACGCATATCAGCAAGGTACGGAAATTACTTTGTTTTCAATTACCCTGGAGCCAGCATCGAGAAATTGTGTTTAATTGTATCCATTTAGACCGAGTTATTGCTTATTCTTCTTAATTTTGCTAATGATTTTCAAGGGGATAGTTGAGATAAAGAAGTTGTGGGCTTTGTTCCAACGCGCAATTTTATGTGTTTTAAGAACTTTTAAAAATGTTACGTATGGCTTTGAGATTAGGAGTGATGATTACTAGTCGCGCGAGAGATCGTTCGTGGTTTAGGGTGACAATATATTTATCGTCTGACCTCGGTTACGCAGCCTTAAAACACCTTTAGGATCTATGAATAAGCGATATTTCTGTGCTAATAGATAATGGCCTTCGTGTCCAATATGATAATTCTTTGAATACACGACAATACCGGCCTTCTGTTTATATCAAGATGTTTTGTTTTCTGTTTCGGTGGTTTGGAGTAATAAGTTTCGAAGGAAGCATTCACTGGGTTTTCAATTTCAAACAAAATATTTTTTCTACGATGATCTAAGATATTTCCCGGTCGATCTTTTCCTCGTAGTTGTTCATATAGTCAAAAGTAAACGGCTCAGTAAGCGTCAGTAACGCTTCCCTATTGTTTGTACAACAAGGGAAGTTTAATTTGATCAGTCTGAGCGAGATTTGAATATGCAGGGAACCGTGGTACTTATGCGATTTGAGAACTTTTAAAGTACTGGAGTGTAAACATCTCCTGTCCATTTTTCAAGTGTTATTCGATCGCAGAGATTGTATTTAACGTGATAGCAGTGATAAACTTTAACCTGTTATAACATGGTCAACGAATTGGTCACTATGGCAACCAGCTCTCCTTCGCCTGTAGTTTAATACACTAAGGGCCTGTAAATGTACTCAGTATAAGAAACAATGTCGTTATAGTTTTGCACGGTTTCCCAAGTCTTTTTGAAATAATATACCGATCCAACGCTCTAATTTCGATGCTAAAAATTTTCGTGTGGTTGATTCTTACAATGCTTTGTATGGAGTCGAAAAAAAACTCAACTACGTTTTATTTATTTTTCTTTTATCTAGGAAGTGGAGATGATTGAAAACGTGCGGGCTTTGCTTAAGAAAACAATGGATCAAGCCCACGAACAGCTGTGGTAAGTTCATGAGTTTGCCCTAATTCCACTACACTTGGCATTGACACTGAGGTCATCCCACAAATATGACAGCTATTGTGTAAAATATTGTCACACACAATCCAATATTGAGCCTAAATTTCTGTTGATAGATTAAGATATCCCTCAGATCACGTTTGCAACTATTACAATTTCGACTGGTCCGTTGCCAATTTGGATGTACATCGTTGCTGGAATTGTAGCCATATTTTTGACCATGCGCGTTATTTCTGCATTCGGAGTGTAACTTAATCTCGTTGAGCGCAAATTTTTGTTTAACAACTTCTCGCCAGCTGAAGAAAGATCGTTCATGAAAAGGTCTGAGAATGGTTGCTCACATCCCAACAGCAGTATATGCATATTCTCCATACTGTTCTCTATATATTTCACAAGGTGCTTACAAGAGGAATTTGTTTTACAATCAAAGCTTTTTAAGTTGGTGATCATTTTCTTTATTGTCATTTACTTGATGTTTGATTCATGGATGATGTTATGTGACATTGGATGCTAATCACCAGTTGTTAAGCCAATAGTTAAGCGTTCATATATCTTGATATGCTCAATCGGCAACACATTCTATTTCTCCAAGGTTGCTACGCTCTGCGAAGACTCTGCTGGAAAAAGATCTTGGCGACAAGTACGGTTCCCTTGGGATTGATGGGAAATGCTCCACGTTAACAAACTTCTCTAAGGACATCCATTTTGCGCCCCACTCGGTCACGATCCAACAACAGTAAGTGAACATGAATCATTTGATTTGATTTTATCAACTGGGTTTATAATGTAAATTGACCACCATAAAGAGTTCCAAAGCTGGCGTTTCGAGCTTCAGCCCTTCGCTCTGACTAAGGGCTAACGCTCGAAACGTCAGCTTTGAAACTCTTTACGGTGGCCAATTTACATTATCAACTCAGTTGCTAAAACCAAATCACCTTGCTATACTCCCCCACCGACGCAGCACCACAGATTCTCTAGAAACGTACCCCCTTTGAACATGCATAATTGCTAGTGTTGTGAACTTGATTAGCAATAGTCACGCAACGCAGTCAGAGACTTTGCGTGACATGCCCGAAGAACTTCCCTTTGCCACAGTTTGTCTCATGAACTGGTTCCTCTGTCTTTTAGGCCGCAAATTTAAATTTTCTACTATATTAGGAACGAGATAAGCAGACGAATAAGAGTAAAAATTTTTTGACACACGGTTAGATTTTCAGAACGAAAATTGGGAAGCAAGCCATTCTTGACCTCTCTCTTTCAGAAGTCCACTTCTAAAATGACATTAAAAATTTCAATCGATCCTTAAACTGTATGTAACTGTAAAGTATGTAACTTTTCCTTGAAATTTAGAGGAACATTTAGCTGAACGACAACAAGAAGAAGAAAATTTTACTTGGGATGAAACACCAAAATTCTCTTTACTTATTTAGGAGGGTATAGCAGCGAATGGGAGAATGTATAATCATATACTGACAGTCTTAAAATTTGACGGCTTCAATCAATTATGTGATATTTGATACCTCGAAACTTAAACAAATAAAAACTCTGAGTCTCACCCTGGGGACTCGAGCCAAAGACCCTCCGATTTCGTTGTTTCAGACCATACTACAGAGCTATAGAGTTCTTCTTAGCTAGCGAAGCCCAAACCAGTTTGCATGCAACTAATGTCCTGATTACTGCAAGGATCATCATGTTAAAATCCTCCTTAGTTGAATTTTTTTTTGTCAAATAACCTACGCTTATTTGTTCTTGTGGTATTCTTCCAGTTCTTTCACTCCAGATGAATGGGAGGCCTACTCTTCAGAGAACATTGCCAAAGCAGAGCGGGAACGCAAGGCATCTGTGGCTCTGCGATCAGAGATTAATGGAATCTTGATGCAGACTTACGTCGACCTGAGGAACATCTTTGAGACTGTTAACAATGAATTCAGCAAGCGTATTGAGGAGACGGTGACTGCTAAGAGATCGCTCGAGAAAGAATTGGCCAGGGTAAGTGTTTCCTTTACGTTACACTGCATTGTGGTTAAGTGTCGTAAAAACAAACGCAGAGCAATCAAAGTGTCCAATCAGAACCCAGGAAAATATGACAAGGTGCCAGTGAGACTCAGGCGCAATGTAAAACATATAAAAGCTTTTGTTTTGGACGTTAAACAATGTTGACCATTTTTCACGATTGCTGGACCAAGAAAATCTCAGTCCATGTGAAACTTCCAATCTCAACCTGTCCGTGTCTGCGAAGATCAGAAATGTTAAACAGTTCAAAGTAGAGACCGAGTAAGGTGGCTGTGAATTTAAATTTCATTTTTTTAGAGCTAAACCTGAATTGCTCTATCATAGGTTATGGATGAAATAGCGTCTATGGAGAACAACGTCCGTGATCTCAGGCAAGCCATTGCAGACAAAGAGAACCCACTTAAAGTTGCCCATACTCGCTTAGACAAGCGTTCTTTGAGACCCAATGTCGAGCTTTGCAGAGATCCTGTACAGTACCGACTGGTTGGAGAGGTCGGCGAGATCAACGTCTCAATAGATCGTCTGCGCATGCGTCTGGCTGAGGCCGAGGCCTCCCTCATGGCTTTGCTGAGGAACAAGGAGCGCCTGGAAGATGATATTGAAGTGAAGACCAACAGCCTTTTTATTGACCGTGATCAGTGCATGGTCATTAGGCAGCAAGTCCGCCATATTTCTCACTAAGGAAACTGTTACGTAACCGTGGCAACAGATAATCTTAAAAGGACAAAGAACTCTTAAGAGATATTTGGAGATTTTTTTATAGGGCATTTTATTTAAAAGCAAAATTAAATTACTTTCGATTCTGGAAATGAAATTTTGGAACTGAGATTTTAATAGAAATTTTCCTTTGTCTCGTTTGCCATTTTAAAATGTGGTCCGGTTGAAGTAAAATTTTGAATCGTTTGAATCTTCAACATCTTTTATTCTTTCATTTACATACCTGAATGTTCCTTTTAAGACAGGATTGTAACAGATATTTGCTTCTATTTCACTTTGATTTGTATGGAAAAGAAAAGAATAGAATACTGGATTCAGGTTCTTAGGTGAAATTTCTGTTGTGTTATTCATATACGCGTGTGTGATTCTACAAAATATTTGCACCTCTAGAAAACACGTCAATTAATATATTAATACCTTTTGCACTGGTTGTTAAATGAGATGTGATAATTTAAATAAGAACCAGCAAGAGAACAGATATATCATAAAGGAAGCTTGTTTGTTAAATAACCGAATAAGATTCATTAAACTCCCCAGTGAATTTCAAATAGGAACGAGTGACGCGCATTGGGTCAAACATAACTCTAGGGAGGGGGAGAGAGTATGCGAGTGTCTGAGAATTTATTTTAAAGAGAGACAGTGAAAGTGTTTCTTAGTGTTCTGAAAAGAACAGAATCAGAAGACAGTACTAATATTCTGCTTGTAAATACCTTAATACTTCTGCAATAAATCACTTTTTAACACTAATATTATTTTGGCTGATTTCGTTCCTCTGGGTTTGAAATTTCGTTCCCATAAAAAAATGTGTTTTTAGGATAGATATTTTTCACAAAATTTAACTCTTTTATTTAAGTCTGAATAAAACATTCGACGATACGAAAGAGAGATCTTACCTAGTGCCCATCCTGATAAGAGAGACAGTGGAATCTACAATATTATGAGCCCAAGTAATGTGCTCCTGACAATAGCATTAAAATGTACAGGGGAGGGGTGGGACCGGTTAAATTAGCAGGTGCTACATCATGCTGCAAGCCACCAGGAGCGAAAATATATTTTACAATGAAGTCGATTCTTACTGGTTCTTTAGAATGAAAATGTCCTTCGGTGCGACTAAAGGTCGCTTGGGAGACTTAGCAGGCGCTTACTTTAGGGAAGAGGTGTCAGGACCTAATTTAGCGGCTGGTTTCGCCTTGAAACGAGAGTTTTAGCGACAGGAGCTAGAGAGATCTTACCTAGTGCCCATCCTGACGCGGTAACATGATAAGACAGACAGTGGAATCTACAATATTATGAGCCCAAGTAATGTGCTCCTGACAATAGCATTAAAATGTACAGGGGAGGGGTGGGACCGGTTAAATTAGCAGGTGCTACATCATGCTGCAAGCCACCAGGTGCGAAAATATATTTTACAATGAAGTCGATTCTTACTGGTTCTTTAGAATGATGTTATTAGAAAAATATCCTTCGGTGCGACTATAGTCGCTTGGGGGACTTAGCAGGCGCTTACTTTGAGGAAGAGGCGTCAGAACCTAATTTTGCGGCTGGTTTCGCCATGAAACGAGAGTTTTAGCGACAGGAGCTAGAGCCATTGAAAGCACGTGTGTCTGTGGTGTAAGAAGTATATAGGTTCGTTCCCTTTTTAATGTTTTAGTTAATTGTATGATGTACTTATTTTGAAAGTGATCGAATCCTTTTCAACTGATCGAAGAACCATGTTAGCTGTAGTTAATTTCTTGAAGTCTTCGTACGAAGCGCTTGATTTTTGCATGAATTTGATAATTGAAGGCTTCATTTCATCAGCGCTCGATAGTTTGTGTGAAGACTTTCAGGAAAGAGTCGAAAATAGATATATTATTCAGTTCATTTGCGGTTTTAAGTTTGTCCGGAAGCGGTTGTAGATCTAGGAAAGGATATCGCGGAAGGGAAAATTTTAAACAAAGATAAAAACCATCAATGCAGAGATTCAAACGTCGTATTCAAATACATCAGGATGAAAAAGAATTTCCCTTCGCTCTTAAACTCACGACAATAATCATCTGTCTATATCAGTTGACATACAACCTCGTGTTTGAATTACAAAAGTTATTCATATATTCCAAATTATCTCCTTTGAAATGTTGTCGATTTGAGAACGACTTAGTTCTTAAGCAGATTACAAATCTATATCCAATTTGATCGTACAAGAAACCTCAGAAGTTTTATAAATAATAGTAATCTTAGATTTTAGATATTTATGGTTTGTATTAATTTTCCATAACTTACAGTAGCAATCTATAGCTCATATAATTTCGAAGTACTCACTCAAATGCCGAGGGCACTTGCATTACCACCAGGTTTACCACAGTGACGCAACCACCATGGTCTACATCTGCATTACTTATTGAATTCGTGGTCAGAATTTATTTAAATTTCCAAATTTATCGGACGAGAAACCTCAGAAATTTATAAAGTAGTAATAATCCTAGATCTTGCATTTTATCGTTTAAATTTTTCATAACTGTGACAGAAACCGGGAGCTCACGCAATTTCGTATTCACTTAGTTGCTGGGAGGATTAGAAATACTCAGGCTGCCACAGCCGTGACATAGACCCTATGGCCTACATCTTCATTACTTATTGAAATTGTGGTCGGAATTTGTTTAAATTTCGTGGACAAGAAAAGCGAGCTTCCGTGTGTCTAACTAACACGTAAATCCTGATTTCACTTTCAGTTTTTATTGCTCTGTGAAGGTTTTCTGCTTAAAGCTTGGTTTTATTCTATGAAATTCGCGAGGGCGTTGTTCGTCTTTATAACAAACATCTTTCTACCGCAACTGAAACAGTCGGTGTGGAAAGATTTCTACAGCGAGGTAATCTTGTCGGCTCGGTGGCAATGGCGACCTACCACTGTCAGACTTAGGTTAACTGCTCCACAACCACTCTTCAATGTGATCATTTTATGTTCAAAGGAGAAAGTAATTTAATCAATCCAAGAATAACGGTAAACGTGACAACAGCGACAATACCTGGCCATATGTTCAGAGCAAATTACCGCTGACTTCTAATAACCGCTGGGTTTTGTGGCTAAAAAAGCCCTAACGGAACCGGCCCTTGTTTAGCCTGGAGGGAGGGGTTGTGGTTGAGGCAGTGGGGGAGGGGGGCACTTAGAGGATTTTTTGAACCCCTCCAACTAGCAGTTAATTGGCAGTTAATATTTTTAAGTCCCGTCTTTATACCCTCTCAGCGACGACTCCTCCCCTTCCGTCCCTCTGAAAACCATGTGATGATCCCCCCTCCCCTCCTCCCAGGCGATAAACAATGAAGAGTCCCTAAGCCGAGGTAAAACACCTCTTCTTAAGAGAAGAGCTTGGGAACGAGCGTAGTGTTTAAAAAGGAAACACGTGCCGTTATCACAACGTAACGACACGGGGCTCGCAACAAGGATTTTAACTTAGTTGTCGCTCGCGTCAAACTTTGCGCTCAAAGGATCGCTATTCTCAATTTTGTGTCATCAAAAAGGCTATTTAAGATTCAAGGGAAAGCTTGTATTACAGGCTGCTGGTGGCCGGTAAAGAGTTTTTAGACGCTTGTTATAGGAAGAGCAGGACGTTGTTGCTGTAATTGTTTTGTTTTATTTTGAGTCACCGGCTCGAGCTTGCGTCAATGCACTGTCAAAAATAGCCGCTATCTCCATTAAATTTCGTAACTCGGAATAGATGGAACATGATAAACACACGACAACTCTCAGCTTGATTTTGTGCGCCATAGGTCCAAGACGTTTTTAGGCGGGACAGTCTGAAGTTCATGTAGTGATTTTAAAATACATTTAGTCACATGTTGAGGTCTTAGAAACAGTTCCTGGGACTTTGGACTGCGGTCGCTCCAGTCACATGCTGCGCGCGCTCCTGAGACTCGAATTACTAAATTCTACACAAACGAAAATAATAAAAAACTCAAACGTTGTCTCATTCAAAGCATCACTCTTTTTTCCCGTTCTTCTCGATTACGACCAAAAATGTTTCCGTGCCTATTCATCTTAGTCTTAATGCGTTTTCAATATTTTCAATGTGCCCTTGATATTCAGCTGTTAGTTTCTGTGAATAAGGCTGAATCTTCACGCATTCATTTTGCTTCTGGAAGCCTCAATTTTGACAACATTCGTTAAGGTTGCCTCTTGGACATAAACTTTACTCTTTCGGTCGCAAAGCTTTGAAAACATTTTGCGTATTAGACACATTACAATTTTTATGGCAAAGCACAATACATAACGTGACGGATAATTGACGACATGCCAGCCGCAACAGCCAAAAAGATAAGTATGTCACGTGACACCTTGCAGTCGTACGCCTGTATGAGTTCTGTTATATTCAATCTGGAGTTTTCTTCATTTACTCGACCTATATTTTAAGATCTGGAAAATGACGGAGGTATTGTGTTATATTTGAACCAAATTCTTTTAAAGACTCGTTGAATATATAGGTTAAAACACGCAATCCGCACAGTTGGCCAAAATTTGACGAAAGCTTCACCTAGCTTGCAACTTTGGCAAGTTTAGAACTGTGCAGTTACGCGAATTTCTAATCAAACTGTTATCGATCCCTAAAATTACTACCATTTGGTGACACATTCCTGCTGTATATGGACTCCTTTTGCTTCTCAATTGTGGTTTAAAATGTCGTCGAGAAGCTATACAAAGCATTCGAGTATTCTATATATATATATAAACATTTTAATTCATGGTGACGTATTTGCAGACCTTTTGGCGGAAATGAGTTGATCTATATAATTGACTTTGGTCCGTTCAGTGACGAAGTTTAAGTGGTATAAGATCATTGTGCGGAAAATATAATGTTTTTGAGAGTTCTCAATAAAGGTTTTCTTCGAGTTCGTACGTACGAGAGCGTTAAATTTAGAGCATATTTTTACGTTCTATGCTTAGCGCTATTTCTTATGAAAATAACATGGAATTTCGATGCGAATGATTGTGGTTAAACATTTTATTTTATGGAATTAACAATTAGCGAAGGAAGCTTAGTTGAGCAAGAAGGGGAAAAATGCTAAAACGTGAAAAGTCTTTCAAGATGACTTTCTCTTAACTGACCTCACAGTAAAACAATTATCGAAAGGGAAAGCCTTTCCTCTCCTGTAATTTTTTGTTTCAATTCTCTTCCTTTTAAGCTTCGTGTACTTTAGCTGGCATAGCTTATAATTACGAGAAAGTATGCAAGATCTCGCAGATATTCTTTCGCGCGTCACTTGCAACTTTCTCACAGCTAAATTCACGTTGACCGGCCGGCCTCATTAATTAGTGCACAACTAAATCACGCGGTAATCAATTGTATATCCCCTAATCGTCTTAACACAGTGAACTATGCCCCTTGAGTTAAACATAGTTAGATAAAGTTGTTTTTTTTATTTAGTTTTTCCAATCATCAAATGATTAAAGCATTTCCCGCGTTTGCATGAATTACGCAAGTCGAACTTTCTGTCATTCATCTGCCAAGTTTGACATCCACCATTTTACTACAATTTGATCTGCTCTAATCCAATTATTTTCCTCTCAGCGGGAATCTATGGCTGAAAACAAGGAATTACTGGGCGGACTGTACGTTCAGGAGAACTATGATGTGGATGGAACGCCGGAATCGGTAAGCACATGTTTTGTTCAACAAGTTTCTGCTTGATTTATCGCCTGCAAATATAATCGACATTGGTTCGGGGTTAAGCAGTCGATTTAGTTGAGCCGAATATCAAATTGGCTCTTCAGAAGCAAAGGATAAGTAGTATTTTAACTCTCTCTGTAAATTAGAGTCAATGGAATATTGAAAAAGTGAGAACTAAAACCAATGAGGAGTGAGTAAAAATTTTGCGTGACTGCACGCGATCTCGTGAATATTGAAACTCGGTCAAATTTGATTGCCTGTTATGTATGAACGTATTGCTCCTTTGAATCTAAAAAATAAAATAACCAATGAGATCTCCGCGCAGTTTGATCCTCTATGTCTTAATCTATATCCTTATTATTGATTATGACACATTAGGATTGGAACATTGACCCCAGAGACTTGTGTTTTATAACTTAATTATAGTTTAAAGTTCAAAACAGTCGATTTGCATAGTTGCGATTACAATCATTGTGAATTCGGCGTCTCTTCGCACTCGCTGGATACAAGGTGAAAATTGCTCGTGTAGGAAGCAGTTGTTCTGTAAACACGTTTCATAGATTCTTTTTGCGATTCTTTGATTGAGTTTTGCCTGTCCTTGTCATTTTAAATAGCAGTATCAAAATTGCTTCAGGTCAGTTTTAAAGTGCGTAATCTCACTTAGCCTAAAGCTGGAGTTGTATGAATATTTATGAATATTTGTTCCATTCAGGGCTTTTGAATTAAATCACTGACTCTACTATGACTGTTAAAATTTTCGCTCTGTTTATATACCATTCCTTATCAATGACCAAAAATTGAATTCTTTTAGGGCTGTGAAGTTCATTTAAAAGCTAAAAATTAATGTTTACAGAAGCTTGAAAAGAAGCCAGCCCTTGGCATCTTCATAGTTCGTCATGGTTCACTGTTTTGTAGTGTATTAAAATAGGTCTCACTTGTGCATTTGAGGAATGTTGTGACTTGGAGTTAAACGGTTGAATTAAACGAAGCTGAATCGCGTTAGTAACCCCTGAATGTCGTTTTCGATGAAAAATTTTTGAAACATTTGAAATAAAACAAAAGAGAAAACGGGTGAAGTTTTTAACTGACAAACTGTAACAAAAATATATTCAAAGACCAATATTACTATTAAATCTTTATTGTGTTTAGTTCAAGTTGAATTCCTGTAGTTAACAATTACGCCAAGTATTGTAAGAAAAAGGAAATATTGATTGTTTGACGTATATTGGGTAAAAATACAAAGTCGAGAACACCAAACAGGCAATATCGAATTTAGCTGCTCTGCCATTGGTCTTTTTACCAATTTACCAATACTGTATTCAGTGACCCGGCAATTTTGTAAGACCGACTGACTGTGTTGTATAGTTGCGTCTACCAAGCGTGCTCGCTACTCAGTATCTCGTGCTGCGAGCCGGCTAACTTTTACGACCACCAAGGCCGAAGTTTTTAGTTTGTTTAAGTCCTACCCTGGCGGTTTGAGATCTGAAAGCCGTTTAGTACCCGTTTTAAAACTGGTTTCAACGGCTTCAGCCACAGCTGGGCGACAGAGAAAATGAGTAAAGCAGCAAAAGGAAGCGCCGAGGAAAAAGAAAATTTGGTAAAGTATGACCTTGATTGACTTCGAGTTGAATTAACCCAATGGCGGTGTCTTATTCGCAATCGAGAACGATTAGCTCAGCATTTTCAACAATGAAGTTTCAACGACTTCTTCAATTCTTTTGGAAACTTTGCGTGCTACGCGATGTGCCTCGTTGCCTAAGTAATCACATTTTCAGGACACGCCGTTCGCCGCTGACGAAGCTCGCTAAATCCATCGTGTTCAAAATCTTTTTTAAACTAGAACTTAACAAATTCGAAACAAATTCGGTAGAAACAATTGCTAGATGAATGAACGGAACAAATACAGAAACATTCTTTGCAAAATCAAACAAGTTCAGAACTCTGAAGCGATCTACTTCTAAATTTAAAAAGTCTATTTTAGTTATGCATGACTGACTTTTGCCTCTTTAACCGGTGAATTTCAATATCTCATTAATTAATCGTGAGTTTAAACTGAGAAAAACGCGTGTTTGACTTCAGTGGAAAGTTTTGAATTGCAAAGAAATGTTTTCAAAGAAAACAAATAAGTTTGATTAAGATTTCAGCGATTGCTCGCACATTACGTAACTCGTAACCCCGGGCTGACACACGCAAGCATCACGTGTTCTTGACGTCAAAAATATCCGAACTGACCTTATCAAAGTACAGTGTTAACACTTCTAAACATACAATTGAACCCAGCTAGCACATATATCCGGCTTCCAATATTCACTTATACTGGTTTACAGCCAGTACTTTTTAATTATTTAAATAATGAACATCGGTTAAAACCCACACATGATCGGGCGAAAAGGAGACAAAGACATGTCGCTTACATGACATAGCCTATTCCCTATCTTGCGTGAGTTGTTTACAACTCGAAAAGAGAAAATTTAAGTTTGAAGTTGACTAATGACGTTCTCTACTTAACGCTGTATTGGCTGATGCACGTGGAAGCAACTTTAACCTGCTGTTCTAACAGGGTTCCGATAATGTTTATATTCATTATGCATTACAATATTACAACGAAAATTTATTGATGTAGTTTTTAAGCCGGCAGTTTTCATTCTTTTCATTCAGCAATGCTTTTTGAAGGATTTGGAAATTCACTTTTGCCGAAACAAAAATATTTTGCTGTTTAGTTTGAGATAAGGTTTCAGGTCTGTGCTTGGACGCACGCAAAGTATAATTATAATAAAAGCTTTTCAGTATTACACGTCTCGGCTTAATATTTCTTCGTACTCATACTAATTTTAAAATATTTATCCTGATCAGCGAGACAAACGGGAGCCAGTTTAGTCCCAAATAATTAATTTTGAATTTTCGAAGATCCATACTTCAATGATTTTCGAAGAGGGTTCTACGCAAACATCGCTCGCGTTATCAGTGTTTAAATCCTTGATATCTCCCTCTGAATGATAATAGGAGACTGGTGCCAATTTGTGAAAATATCACGCTTTTGTAACATTTAAATGTTTTCTTAGTGATACAAGGTACCTGGAGAGAATCTTAAGCATTTTCAGGAATCACTTGAATATTGCACGGCTAAATTTTAAAGAACCGGTTGGCGACCGTGTGCTGTGTTTATGTCTTACTAACGAAAGTTCGAGGAAACTTTATCCCAGAAATGGAACACATTTTCTCAAATGAGTTATCTCAAGATTAAAATCACATGAAGTGCTTTAGCTCCAGCATTAGGAACTGCGGGATTAGGCACATGTCGTGAAATTTGACGTGTAAAGAAGCGAGTTCCCGCAGGTCCATGACGACCGCCATATTGGTTTAGACTTGCTGTAGTTTCCCATCAAACTGTTCACGTGGTATATGATTGGCACTTATTAATACTCCACGTGGGTTTCCACAGGGGTTGTTTTCTAAAATGGCGGACGTAGAGGAGGAGGAGGTGTATAGATAATCGTTTATTTCTTCAAACTCCTTTCCGCTTTTGATTTTCGAAACTAGTAGCGAAATGATTTTTTACGCTTTCTTCTTTCTAGTTTGGGCGAAGTCAGAGCTACCGTGTCGCAACGACACCCCTAGTGAATGATGGTGCGGGTAAAAAAGATGGCGGAAAACCCGCTAAGAAGATGTCAAAGCGAAAAGCCAAGAAACAGGAAAAGAAGGAAAACCTTGAGGATCTCAAGAAAGAATTAGAAATTGTAAGTGGAACGTTTACTGTCTGGCCTCTTCAGTCAGTGAATTGTCACAGCAGAAGTTAATTTTTCCCGTTATCGATCCTAGGATTGGCATACAATCGAGTTGGAGGAAGTATGCAGGCGTTTAGAAACGAATGTGGAAAGGGTAAGCACGAGTTTTTTTTAGCTTCTCGTATATTTTATCACTACTAGTTTGTCACTGAATCGTTAACGACGACTGTCTTTGACAGATTGTCTACTCTTGAGATCGCAATGGGTTTAATCGTTATATAACCTCGAGAACAAATAGACTTCGTTTTCAAGCCGGCTTACTACACGTATGCAAATTTCATAGTGATTCGAAGCATTAAAAATGTACGTAAAACTACATCGAATATCTCCTGATCGCTAGTCATTAATTTTTTTTTTTACTGCGCCTGAATCTTTACTTTTCTTTGACGATACGATTAGGAAACTGTAGTACTATGAATTCATGATATAACCGTCAGGATTCTGATTAACAAGTATTCCTGTCTCAAATACAAATCTAAATCAACTAAATTTATTAAAATGTTTTATTTAGTTCAATCTTACAGTCTTACAGGCTTCGATTTTAGAATTTTCAAACTTGAACTTTCTTTTCACATTATTTCTGTCTCCTGATTAGCTAGATGTCTGTTCAAAATTTTTACTATATCTGCGGTTTTCAATTTCGGCACAAACTTTCACGGTATAGGCTGCATCAAATCGAATGTTGTTGTAAAAATTAATACAGCAGATTTACAGCGACGTGTAGGTCTTGACGGAAATTGCTTAGTTGTCTATATATTTTGCTGTGCGTCCTTCCGATTTGCATGAACGCATCGATCGGTGTGGCCGGTAAAGGCATGTTTTTGATGAAGTTCAGCAAACGTGGGTTTTCACTAAAAGCATTACAGTTATCTATTATTCATGGCCTCGAGTGGTTGAATGTGATTTTCGATTCGCTTGTAGACGATGGTGTAAAGCGATTTCTTTTCGTAAACATTTCGAGACTCGAGTAAATCATTAATTCATCGAAGAATTGAACACCCAGTACTTTAAATTTCAATCAGCGGGATTTGAATCGGTTGAATTCCCAAAGAATGTTGCAATTAATTTTATTGCCTTGAGTCTACGTAATCATTTTCTTTCTCGTATAGGAGAAGTCTGTTTGGTAAAGCGCGGTCTAGTTGTATCCTATTTGCAAACCCGTCGTTACGTTCATAATTGTTATTCTAAATCAGGCAGCGTCACATTACATCGATCTTTCTCATGACATTTCCGTGACTCGCCGGCAGAGGAGAGCAAAAGGATTGACTGAATAGATGTTTCTTTAAATTAGTCTTTCTTGTTTTCTTTCATGTTTGTAATAGTCAGAGTACTTTTTATCTGCTTTGCACATTGTAAACTTCATCTGTTGTTGTTTGAAAGTAAATTATTGTGTTATGAATGAGAAACAGGAGATAATTAAGTTAAAACTCGATTCTATTTTTGTCGACAAGAAAATAGTAACGGTCAATTTGTTGATAAAATCCAGAACAAACTGGGGCAAGATTTCAGCACAGTCCCATACTACATTATGCATATAGTTCTTGCATAAAGAAAACAGTGTCAAACGAAATATATTAACTTTGCAATTACAGCTTTGTTTTGGAATGATTTGGGGTTACACAGAAATGTTTCCAAAACTGGATAACATATTTGCACACTGGTCAAGTGCTGTCATTTTATGCTTGATTTGTTCAAACAAACTCACAGGTTATGACCCCATTAAGAATCACTGCTTGGGAATTCAAACTGCATCAGAGAGGGGGGGAAGAGAAAATTTTGCTTTCAAATTTTGCTCCAAAAACATGAGAATATTTTAAGAAAGGAAATCTCATGAATTGTGCAGGATCCAGGAGGAGAGGTGATATTCCTATTCTTTACACTATTGATTCTGCAGATCACCCTTTACTAAGCGGTTGATGGTCAGATTCTCAAATTTGTTTCCCCTGAATCAGTGTAAGTCCCAACAGCCTGGTTTTACTGTCCTGTGCCTGTGTTGAACCGTCACTGAAAGCTGGGCCACTAAGATAAAACTAAGAATAATCTTTCAAGTAATTATTAATCCATGTTCCTCTCCCGAAATCAATGTTACCATAATAGTGTTTTTGCGGGAGTTTGTGTACACCAAGCTGTCAGTTATGACAAAGTGGCATTTTTTTTGTTATTTTGTTAACAATACCTTTATTCTTTAGCAGTCACTACACCATTTCTTGTGGGTGACTGCTAAATACAGGTTTGACTTTATGCTTGGGAAACCAGGTGAACCATGAGAATCATTGGCCTCTTGATTCGTAAGACTTGACAATATTACTCTTTTTTAAACAGGGTCTTAGCATTGAAAAAGCTGCAGAAGTTCTTGAGCGAGATGGCCCCAACTCTCTGACTCCCCCACCCACGACCCCTGAGTGGGTGAAGTTTTGTCGTCAGCTGTTTGGTGGTTTTGCCATGCTGTTGTGGATTGGTTCTATTCTCTGTTTCGTCGCCTATACTATTCTTGTATTTACAGAAGAGGAACCACCTTCAGATAATGTATGCACATACATTTAGTTGACATTAACCCTTTACTCCCCAACATCAGTATGCATATTCTCCATACTACTCCCTAGACATTTCCAACAGTTATGATAAGGAGAATTTGTTCAACAATCAAAGAGCTTCTTTAGTTGGTGATAATCTCTGTAATTCTCATGATCTTAATGTTTGATTCAGGGGTGATGTAGTAAGTTGCTCCATCTTAACACAGTGGCCTAATCGTCAGTGCTCAGGACTCTGGTTTGAGAGGTCTGGGCTCTAGACCTGGCCAGGTCAAAGTGTTTTGTTCTTGGGCTAGAAACTCTTACCCACATATCGTCTCTCTCCACCCAGGTTTATAAATGGGTACTGGTGAATTTTCAGGGAAGCCTAGTGAAATGCTGGGGGCAAAACCTTGGGATGGACTAGGATCTCTTCCAGGGGGGAGTTGTAATACTTCTAGCTAGTTGCTTCATGCTACATGAAAACCGGGATAAGTCCTGGCTGGGTGAGCTAATAGCAGTGTTCTACACAGATTTTGAAGTAGTCAGCTAAAATTGTAAAGTACCTGGCGCTTCCAAATCAAGGGCAAATTCAAGCTACGCTCGAAATTATCTTACCAAAAAAAGGGAATCGTTGTCTGTGGTTTTAACCAACAAAAGGAGCCAGTGCTTGAGACATGGGTGGCCAGTGAAAATGCTGGCTGCCAGTGCTTCTGGAGAACACTGCTAATAGGCTTGTGTACAGATTTTACTAAGTCTATACTAGTAGTTATGGTGGAGTTTATTTGGTTAAGTCCAAGCTGGAATCAAATCATAGGCTGAATGTGTCTCTGACCTTTTTTATTTCAGTTGTATCTTGGGGTTGTATTGGCTGCTGTAGTGATTGTGACTGGGATTTTCTCATATTACCAGGTATACAGTGTTCTCTCTTACTATAGCAAGCCAGAAATTGTCAAACTGATAGAGCAATTCTTTAGACTGTTGAATTTTCAAGAATTACAAGCTATTGTAGGCAGTAACATTACGTACCACAAGCAGTAAATTTTACCATGTTCTGTCTGAAATGGAGAAAACTGGGCATGCCTAGAGTTAGGTATACAATAGATTTTGAACTTGGTTTGTATATTCTGTTATTAGTAATTAACAGAAGCCTCATCTTCATAATTGTGGTGGTAATGTTTTGTATTTCAGGAAGCCAAAAGTTCTCGTATCATGGACAGCTTTAAGAATTTGGTTCCACAGGAAGCAAATGTGTTGCGCAGTGGTGAAAGACACACCATCAATGCAGAAGAAGTGGTTGTTGGTGATATAATTTTTGTGAAGGGTGGGGACAGAGTTCCTGCTGACATCAGAGTAGTGGAAGCCAGAGGCTTCAAGGTATATCAACCTGTTTACAAGACTAACCACTAAAAAAAAATGCCCCATTCTTTTCAGGAAAATTCAATCCCTGTTGCAATAAGATATTTGGTCTTATCAACTGAGTTGATAAAATAAATTAGCCACCATTAAGAATTTCTAAAGCCCACATCACAAGCATTAGCCCTTTGTCAGTGAATTGAGTAGTGGGTTGTGTGTGGTATATATACAGAAAGATGATGCTGTACTATCACTGGGAAGTCGGTTAAGAGGCATTTATAAGGCAGTCTGCGGCCTTTCCCTGTATCTAGACAGTTTAAAAATCCATACAAATCTAGTGCCAAATTTATCTTTCAAATTGATGTATTCACCATTTTCCCTTATCTTGTCCCAATTATCATGTTATTTAATAATATTTAGCATGGTTGTTTGCATATTTTTATTTCAAGGTGGATAACTCCTCACTCACGGGTGAATCTGAGCCCCAGAGCAGAGGCCCTGACTGTACCAATCAAAATCCTCTAGAGACCAGAAATCTGGCTTTCTTCTCAACAAATGGACTGGAAGGAAACTGTGTTGGTATCGCTGTACAAACCGGAGACAACACTGTCATGGGACGTATTGCTAACTTGGCTAGTGGTCTTGGCTCTGACAAAACTCCAATCGCTATTGAGATTGAACATTTCATCCACATCATTACTGGTGTTGCTGTATTTCTTGGGGTCTCCTTTTTCATCATTGCCTTTATTCTGAAGTACAACTGGCTGGAAGCTGTCATCTTCTTGATTGGTATCATTGTGGCCAATGTACCAGAAGGTCTTCTTGCAACTGTTACAGTAAGTGTAGACATGCCTTGTCATTCAAATGTCTGTGCAAAGAATGCATAAAAACCTTACCAGAATCATTCCCTGGACCAGTTTCTGTGGGAAAATTTGTGTGACTTCTCATGTGAAACTCTACAATCTTTTATTTGAACTGATAGGTTACATCATGAATTCTTTTTTTCGGTGGAAATAATTGTCGTTTAGAAGTAATCTTTATTCAGCAAAGCAGGGTTGTCATTAGGAAATGTGATAGATGTGTGATCTGAACTGAGGGGGTGTTCAATTGAAAGACACTTGCATTACATCATGCCCCTCCAAGGAGAATCCAGGGGCAGGCACTGCTGAAAAAGGTTGAAATTTTATTCTCTCTGAGACATCGTTTCCAGCATTCTGGGACATATTTGAGTATCACTTTTTTTAGCCATGCTGTTAGAATCAGTTCACAAAGACTTGTTGTCTGTCATTGCTCACAGTTCACAAAGTTGCCCAATAAAAAGTAGTCTGTTAGGTGGCAAGTTTTTCTGCCACTAACCAGCTGGTATAAACAACCCTGGTTAAGGTAAAACTTATCTGACCAGTTTTCATCAGCATGTACAATCCCATTGGCTTTGATTACCACATGTACAATGCCTGCAAACTAGTATTTCAATGTTACCATTATTTTTTAAATATAATTCATTGTTTACCTTCTCCTTGTGAAGGTGTGTTTGACCCTAACAGCCAAGAGAATGGCTTCCAAGAACTGCTTGGTGAAGAATCTTGAGGCTGTGGAGACTCTTGGCAGTACATCCACAATCTGTTCTGATAAGACTGGTACACTCACTCAAAACCGAATGACTGTGGGTAAGAAACAATCTTTTAACTCTATAACCTGTTCATTCTCGATTGAAAGAGAAACAAAACTGTTCAAATGATTTGTACTCTACTGCTGTCCTTACTCTTTCACCCCTAGGAGTGCCCAAAAAGGATTTTTTTCTTTTTATATCACAACATTTGAACCCTCTTTACACTAATTTCAGAATAGATATTCTCCCTAAGTTTTTCTGTATATTTCCTAAGGGGCTGACAAAGAGAATTTCTACACCAATCCATAGCTTCTTGAGTCATCGATCCTTTTTCAATATTCTCATTACCTCGCAGTTTAATTCAGTATTGATACTGTTAGGAGAAATTGGAAGCCAGTCACTCTTAATTGGGGTTAAAGGTTTTTTAAGCATCAAGGTCATAAAAATCATGGAATTTGGATTGGGGGATTTTTTTTTTTTTATTTAATACCAAATTCTCAGAGGAAAAGTTACAAGGAATGTGATAGAGACTTGATATTTGGATATTTTGGCACTAAAGGAAAGGGAACTATTTTATGCCCCAATATTATTGGTAGCCTGTGTCTTTGTTACACAGCTTCATAACCTGCCATTAATTCATTTCGCATTCTTCTAATAATGAAAGAGTCACTTTCATTGGATGGCCAAACCTATGTTTAACCACAATTGGTTGTATTTTTAGCCCACATGTGGTTTGATAACATGACAATTGAGGCTGACACAACTGAAGATCAATCAGGAGTTTCCTTCGATAAGGTGAGAGACATTTTCAGCTTTCAAGCTCCCTAGCACAGTGGGAAAAGTCCTAGATAAGCTGCATTTTAAACCATCTAGGGAGTCATTTTGAGGGTTTTTTAAAAGAAGTGGATTGTGTAGAAAGAACCATTTTTCCAGGTATTGTTAACATCGCTTTTTTCATCAGAAATCAGATACATGGAGAGCACTTGCTCGAATTGCTGGACTTTGTAACAGAGCAGTATTTAAAGCTGATCAAGACCATGTTCCAATTTTGAAGAGGTATTGTGTGCTTCCTGTTCTTGTATTGTGAGCTGATTTTGCATGCAGAACAGCAACCCCTAAAAAAAAAAAAAAACAACTTGGGTTGCACACCAAATCTGCTTAAAGTTTTAATTTGTGAGTGTCAGATATCACTTTCTCTCTAGATCCAGCAAACTCCATGCATCTTGACTTTACCTTTACGAACTAACATCAGTCTACTTATTCTCCTCATTGTTTTTTATACAATTCCTTTAGCACTGACCAGGAGAATTTGTCGCAACCAACAGCTTAATTATCCTACTATCATTTCCTTTTACCTCATAATCTTGCCATTTAATTCAGTGTGGATATAGTAGGGTGAAATTAGTTTCAGAACCTGGTGGAGGTAAAGAGTTTAAAAAGAAATTGAAACAAGGAATTGTAGATGAAGAATTACAGTTCAAAATGACTAAAATGAAACATGCATGATTTCCTGTAACTCTGAGATTCGTGCTTACGCACTCGTCAGACAGATTTCATTTTAAATCTGCATGACAAGTACGAGCACGAAACTCAGAGTTACAGGAAATCATACGTGTTTCATTTTTTAGTCATTTTGAACTGTATTTTGCTCTATACTCATATGTATTGAGCACTCTCCAACAGCAGTTACTACAATTTCCCACAATGAGATGAAGAATTAGATTGTTTGAATTGAAATGCAATAATCAGGATGATGCATTTTTGATAAGTGTACTATCAGAATGAGTGAGAACTATAACAACATTTGTTCATCTTAGGAGACATATAGGCAAAGTTTAAATCAGTTTATTGACCCTTGACACCCTAACATCAGTTTGCACATTCTTCATAGTGTTCTCTATACTTTTCCTTTGTTGCTAACAAGGAGAATTTGGTGACCAATCAAGAGCTTCTTTGGTGATCATTTCCTGTATTCATGTGACCTCAGTGGTGTGATTCAGATACGATTTTGTGAGGATAATTTACATGCTGGTCACTCTTACAGGCCAAAGAGTTGAAGGAGTGTTCTTTTTTTTTTTTTCAGGGAATGCTCAGGAGATGCCTCTGAATCTGCCTTGATGAAGTATGTGGAGCTATCCGAAGGAAGTGTGAAGGAAATGAGAGATAAACATACCAAAGTTGCCGAGATCCCATTCAACTCGACCAACAAGTATCAAGTATCCATTCATGAAAACCCAGATCCTGACGACAAGCGCCATATTCTTGTGATGAAGGGTGCTCCCGAGAGAATCCTTGATCGTTGCTCAACAATTTTGATGAACGGTGAGGAAGTGGCGCTTGATGAGAAAATGCAGGAAGCTTTCAATGCTGCTTATCTCGAGCTGGGAGGCATGGGTGAACGTGTGCTTGGTTTCTGTCATTTCTTCTTGCCGTTGGAAGATTTCCCTCCAGGATTTGAGTTCAACACAGATGAGGTAAGTACCAGCTTTTATAATTTCTGCAAACTGCTTTAAAATGAATGTTTAGTTTGGGAATCATAGCTAGTTGTATTACTTTTTCATAAATGTTACGACGTTTGTATCGTTTGCGATTCAAGAATAAAACGTCTCAATCTATGTTTTGACACTTGAATGTTTCTCTCTGGCCGTTTTCACCAAAAGTTCGAGTTCTCGTGGTAAATTTGAGTCAAGGGAAGGCGAAGTTTGTTCAAGTTAACGGGGATTTTGAGTTAATTGAGTTTAAGTTAGTTGATAGTAAATGACTGGGAAAATGGGGTCAAATTTGAGGAAAATCGAATATTGTTCGAGTCAGTAGGTGGTTCGAGTAAACTGGGTTCGAGTTAGCAAAGTTCTACTGTATGTGCATTATAATATCTTAAATTAAATTCCTCTACCTTTGTGCTACTCAGCCTGTCAACTTCCCTCTTGAAAACCTGTGCTTCGTTGGTTTAATGTCTATGATTGATCCACCTCGCGCCGCTGTTCCTGATGCTGTCAGCAAATGCCGCAGTGCAGGAATCAAAGTCATCATGGTGACAGGTGATCATCCAATCACAGCCAAGGCCATCGCCAAAGGAGTCGGAATTATCTCAGAAGGTAAGTTTTTGATAAAAGATACTTCTCTGTTTAGATCTTAAGTCACAAACATAGACTACAAGCTGTCTTTCTTTTTCGGCAAAGTGTTTTGCGCATAAAACAGTGCTTGTACATAATTTTGTCTTTGACTATCGTTCGGACCTACGGCCCCAAAACTATGCCTGATTAGTTGCTTCTAATTTGATTGAGTTTGCTAGGTTGTTGTTTTGTTTTGTTTTTCTCGAGAGAGTATTGTAACTGAAACCGTAGAATAAAAAAATGTTGTTTGAAAGTGCCTAACGAAGAATCGTAATTTTTGTCGTTACATTCAACCACTCAAAATTATTCGATAGGTTTATTACTTGTATCCTCGGAAAGCGGAACAGAGTTTTTGTGACAGTGATTGTTTTTATAAATTTGTAACCCTCTAGTATTCTTTGTCTTCCAGGAACTGAGACTGTTGAAGATATTGCCACTCGTCTGAACATCCCAATAGAAGAGGTTGATCCGCGACAAGCCAAAGCCATTGTGGTTCATGGACAGCAGTTGAAGGTATTTAAAAAAAGGCAGCAGATGTAGCCCTAGTAAACTGATGACTTCTTAAGAAATAAACTGCACTTTTTATTGGTTTGCTGGCAAATAACCCACGTAAGATGTTTTGACAACACGAGATAAGGTTAAAAAAGTTGATCTGGGGGCGAGTGGTTTGCGAAAACTTTCCAGTCTTCTCCCATCATTCCATGTTGATTTTTACGCCGGTCAACCAATGGAAAGCGCTGTCTTTGGCTTATATAAGATTAAGTTTGATTTCTCTGGTAGTGTATTAAAAATCGCATCCTGCATCACTCCTCCATTGGCAAGTGAACTCTAAATATCATTTATGAAGTTGGTAACATTTTGACTCGTGGAGTTACATGTGTAGCTCATGCATTGCCCACCACATATCCCTTTCTTGCCTGTTTTACACATTTGGCCCATGTCTTTTTCTAAGTTTCAAAGTATCAGGTAGTTGTTTTAAATGTTTCACTGCAGTAACAGACGACAAGACGAGCTCAAGACGAGCTCAAGACGAGCCGTGAAAGGGATGAAAGTCTCGATAATCGGGTCCCTGCTTTTTTTTCTGGGTTTAAGCTGATCTGGATTTTAAATGTTGTTTTGAAGGAAATGGTTAAGAGCGACATTGATGAAATCTTGTCCGAGCACACGGAGATTGTATTTGCAAGAACCTCTCCACAACAGAAACTGATCATTGTAGAAGGCTGCCAACGACAGGGGGCCATTGTTGCTGTGACAGGAGATGGTGTCAATGACTCGCCAGCTTTGAAAAGGGCAGATATTGGTGTGTATTTTTTTTTAGAGTTCTTAAGACATCATTCACTAAATTAAATGCCTGTTCTGCTTCTTACATCTCGACGATTAGTTGTCACCTAAAGTACTGCTCAAAAATAAGTTAAGTAAGTTGACAGTTTAAACTCAAAACTCGATTCATGTCCTCGAAACTTTCGAGAATCGAGAACCGAGGTTCAAAGGTTGAGGATCGAGAATCGAGAGTCGAGGATCGAGTATTTAGGATCGAAAATCTAGAATCGAAAATCGAGAATCGAGAATCGAGGATCGAGTTTCTGGGGACTTTCAACTTTTGAGCGGTGTTCTACCTTGTGGTTTTGGCCAACTATTATGCCAGAATAATCCCCGTTCTTCATACGAACGATGCGGTTAAACGTCTGCACGTATGCGAACATTATAATGACTAACTGGCCTACTTTCAGCCTGTGAGAGCCAAGTTGTCTCACTCGAGTAACAGAACCACACAAGCTAGTTAGTCACGATGTTTCAAAAGCGTATAACTTTTTTGATAAAGTTCAAGACAGAATGATAAATCAACAGTATATCTGTAATTTATTAAACTTCGTTTTCGAAACGTCTCGATTTTTCCTTCTTTTGTTCCTTTTTCAAATTTCCCTGAACATTTCAATCTTTTCGCGCCTATTTTGCGTGACAGCGTTCGTTTCTTCATGTTTTTCTTTGAAATTTTGCGCGGGAAGTTGGCGCGCGGCTGGCCAAAATTGAAATACTAGCGCATGCTTGACGTGTGACCGCTGTGTTTCATACGTACCCTGTATTTCACGATGTGATCTTGATCATGACTGTTTTCTCTTGGCAAAATGTCAGAGCTTATGATATTCCTTGTTTGTGTGATATTGAGACTTTGACTGATGAATAAGCTTCTTTCAGGCCTTTTTTTTTGACAGTCTAAACCATTCTCCCAGAATCCTGACTCTATCCACATGTTGTATACGTTTTAGGTGTTGCTATGGGTATCGCTGGCTCAGATGTGTCCAAACAGGCAGCTGATATGATTCTGTTGGACGATAACTTTGCATCCATTGTTACTGGAGTTGAAGAAGGTTTGTCTCATGTTTTGCTATCACTTGTTGTGGTTGTGAGGGTTTAGAGTGAACTTACGCTCTACAGAATCGCGTTTCCGGTTGGATCATGTCTTTGGAAAGTTTTCCTGATTGTGTGGTGTTCTTGGGTAAAACACTTTACTCTCCCCGTGCCTCCCTCCACCAAGGGGTATAAATGGGTACCGACCAATTGAAATGCAGGGGGGGGGGGGGGGAGAAGGGATGGGGTAGTAATTTTGCGATGGATTGGCATCTCAGAATTAAAAGTACGAAGTAGTCTGTTTATGATGAATTTTCATGGACTTTCTCACCTGAAAACTGATGAGAAAACCATGCTGCCTTCCTTCTGATACAACAGACGAAGTTAATTCTCAACGAAGTCAAATTGTATAATTGCAATAATACTGTGCTTTGTGTTTATCTTGGGTATTCTTTGTTTTTAGAATAAAAAAAAACCTTTGACATGCGTGTCTTATCTTTCCTTCTTCAGGTCGTTTGATCTTTGACAACTTGAAGAAGTCCATCGCCTACACTCTGACCAGTAACATCCCCGAAATCAGTCCTTTCTTGATGTTTATCATCTTGGACATTCCCCTTCCGCTTGGCACTGTGACAATTCTTTGTATCGATTTGGGTACTGACATGGTATGTACTAGTGACCAGTATTCTCCCTTATTTTAAGCATGACAGGGAAAATAAATTTTCAAACCGGTAAAGCAATCCTTTTAGTTGTTGAATTTTCAAGAATTCCAAGCAATTTTAAACGGCAATAAGATGTACTACTGGCGGTAAATGTTACCGGTTACTGCCTGAAAAGGAGAACACTGAGTGACTGAGAATTTTGCCCTGCTTGTTAACTCTTTAGTCCGTAAGATCAGTTTGTTTATTCTCCGCACTGTCATATATACATTTCCCATGGTTCTGACGAGGAGAATTTGTGGAATAGTTAAGAGCTGCCTGAAGTGGTGACCAGTGACTTTGTTCTCATGACTTAAATCTTTTTTTTTTTTTGTCTTAAAGGTTCCCGCCATCTCACTTGCTTATGAAAAGGCCGAATCAGACATCATGAAGCGTCAGCCTCGTGATCCTCTCAACGACAAACTTGTGAATGAAAGGTGAATGAAGCATTGCATTTTTGATGAATTGAGTGATTTTCAGTTGAGTGTCGGCGTTCCGGCTGCATACTGCTGAAGCCTCGTTAAAATTTACTCTATCTTAAGTAATTTTCGTAACACCAAAACCACGCGGTCATCACATCAACCAATCAGAAGAAAGGAAAAGACCCATGAAAACCTAGGAGAACTCAAAATAAAACCAAAGAAAAATGCCTTAAGCGCGGGAGAAGGCTGGTGACCAAGTCGTGTTTTGTTTTAGTTGTGCATCTGATTGGTTGGGGGAATGGTGCGAGTTTTTGTAGACCAAACACAGAGTGGACTAAAGCCAAACCAATGCAATCCCGGATTACTTTCAACACTTAATGAAAACTGCTCAATTAATCCAGTTTTTTGAGTAATTATACATCGACATTATAGTGCTAACGTAGTTTTTGTTGATTTGCAGGCTGATTGCTATGGCTTACGGTCAAATTGGGATGATTCAGGTAATGTCCGTTTGCATAAAATGTTGACGAAACTTTATGAATCTTCTTTAGTTTTGGCAAATTATGTTAAGTTTGCACACGGCTGAAGTGGCCCTTACGGCCAAAAGAACCCAGTTATTAACTTCAGCAGACGATGAGCAGAAGAAAAGGAAGAATTATCTGTCTCCAGGCCAGCAGGGCTTGAACCCAGATCCTTCAGCTTAAAGCCAAAGACTCTTGTCATCGGCCCGTGCGTCTCACAGATTTACTTATTGGTCTTTACCTGCAGGCTACCGCTGGTTTCTTTGTGTACTTTGTCATCATGGCAGAGAATGGATTCTTGCCTGGTTATCTCTTTGGTTTGAGAAGACCCTGGGATAACAGGGAGATAAATGATTTACAAGATTCTTATGGCCAGGAGTGGGTACGTGATAACTTGCTGGAAAAAAAAAGGAATGAAAAGTATAGTAATAAAGTGTAAAAGTTTTAAAAAGAAAATCGATGCTCCTTTCAAACAGTTTTGTTAACCGCTAAGAGGATGAACCTATGAAGAAAATCTTTCGGATACAAAGAAGACTCAGGGCTCATGCAAAGTTTTCAATCACTGAAAAAACAGGAAACTTTTCAAACAGATATTTTGGTCCTGAAAATATAATTAGGAAGATAAATACTGTAATGCCATAGCGAATTTTTTTTATCGTGGTCCATCATCCTCGTGCGTCCGAGTAGTTAATATATATTGTAGTCGTCTGAAATTGTCAGAGGTTTTTTCTGGATAGTTATTTTGGCGGTTTCTCGCAATTTTTACAAAACAATTGTTGTTTGTAACTGGGACTATCGATGGCATCTCGTGTTCCTCACGTGGAAGGCGTACACTACGGAGCAGACGGAAAGGATTCTGCTGCGAGAGTCCGCCTTCAACCTGTGGAATGATGGGAAGGATAGTCTTGCATAGAAGGTCGTAGCCTCTGCACATTAACCCATACTTTATCACATTGATGATCAATTTTCACTGCTCCTTGCAGACTTACAATCAACGTAAGATCCTGGAGTTCACCTGCCATACTGCCTTCTTCGTCAGTATTGTGATTGTGCAGTGGGCAGATCTGATCATCTGTAAGACCAGGAGAAATTCTCTCTTCACACAGGGAATGAAGTAAGTACTTGCTCTCTTGTCAACATCTCGTCGAGTTTGGGTTTCGCCTTACGGTCCCTATTCCGGGCACAGCCGCCTTTGAAATAAGTTATTCCGTGGATGACCCTAAGCATTTTTGGGAAAGATTACCTATTCTGCACACATTGATGTGATTTGTGGCGTTCACATTCTGCTCAATATACCTTGTGATGTTTATTTTGCTCTTACGGACGTGTTTACTCTCCCCTCTATTTATCCACAGCAACTGGTTCTTGAACTTCGGTCTGGTCTTCGAGACCTGCTTAGCTGCCTTCCTCAGCTACACTCCTGGCATGTCCAATGGACTGCGCATGTACCCGCTAGCGTAAGTAGCGTATACGTATAACACGTATGATGCCAAAATCTCGTCGTTAGAAATTGCAGCTCGATTAGACAATATATTTGGTATTAACGCCACTTGAATTAACGCAAATTGATGGAGAGGTAACTTTCCAACCAATGGAATTAAACGTGATACAGTTGCTAGAGTTTCAGATTGAGGGAAATTAACCCGACTTTGACATAGAAACAAAATAAGTTTGGAAAACGGAGTAACAGAAAACCGTGGCTGATATTATGCGAACATGAAGTATAAAAATCCCCGACGCCAAAGAAAAAAAAATAGAAAAAAATTGTGGAATTTATGCTGACGTAGCCATTAGAGGGAGGATTTTCACTTCGTGAAAGTACAGTGTGCAACGTATAAAGCTGTTTTGGTTATTATTTAAAACGTAGCTTTCAATAGAGGTCAGGTTGGAATTCTCGTCCTGCACAAAATGACCTATTCATGCATTTATCATCTATCAATCAGAGACGAAACATTTTATTGTGTTGCTAATGACGGGGTGACATCGATATCTTTTTGTTTTCAGTTGGCAGTGGTGGTTCCCAGCCATGCCTTTCAGTCTTGTCATCTGGATTTACGACGAGATTCGTCGTTACATTCTGCGTAGATACCCCGGATGTAAGTACCACAATATAAACGAGACTAGCCGGTTTTGTTTTACGACATCGCGATAGTAATACGGTATTGCAAAGGTTTTGCTTTTCTGAGATTGGTCTTAAATTCTCCCGCCAATTTTACAGCCATTAAGATAATGACGACAAAAAGTAATAGTCCATTTTACAGTTGCATGCTTGGTTGCCAGGCCTTCGAACAGGAATGAGGCTGAGGTTGACCTTGTTGTGACACAAACGTTGCTGCTTTTCACATGTAATTTACTTTGCTATCATGCTAACTAGATACTGGTCTCTATAACAACATGGTCACCTCCAGCCTCACTCCAAATCAAAGGATTGGTAACTATGTACGCAACTGTAAAATGGCCTATTGCGACTTCAGAATAAGTGTTCTCCCGCAAGTGAGACCGACTGCATGTGTTGGAGCCCTCTATGGCTCCTGGTGACGTGTTATATATTATCTAGGGAGAAATTCGAAGTCTTCAAGGGAGTGGGCAAAAAACAAACAAAAACATTTGGACAGCCGCTCAGCCAAGCGAGGAATCAATTTGCCAAACAAAACAAACTCGCTAGCAAGGAAGCTCTCAAGTAGACAAGCACATACACACACAAGCAATTGAATAAACAAATAGGAAAACGATTTAGCACACAAACAATTGAATTAAATGGCAGGCAAATCGTTAATATTTGAGTGGGTGGGTCGTATTTTCTAAACTGAAGGAGGTAATATATCAAATGAATTAAGGGGATAAGTGTCGAAAGAAACTATGGGTGCTGCGTTGGAGGGTGAGTGTAACAAGGAGGGCGAAGGTCTAACGCTCGAAACGTCAGCTTTTAAAACTCCTTATGATGGCCAATTTACGTTATCAACTCAGCTGATAATACTAAATTACCCTCAGGTATTATATTAGTCAGGAATGGAATAAAAACCTCTCTGTCTATTGTTAATCACTGTCTTCATTTTGTCTTTTCAGGCTGGCTTGACCAGGAGACTTACTATTAGAATTGTTAAATCACCTGATCACCTGACATTCGATGTTACCTGATAACTGCAGACTTCAACTAACTTTGTCTCCTAAGTATGCAGAGTTGTCGATATCAGTGGCAACTTTTTCCCTTTTTAATTATCCTACCATTCTCTATGTATCAGGCTTAGAACTAAGCCTTTAGCTAGTCAAATGTGTGTGTTAAGTGTGTAGGGTTAAGTTTCTTTAGGTGTGTCTGTATTCTTAGTGGAACGATTTCTGGAAACGTAAAGTTGTAAAACGTTGAATTCAGAATTGTACCATGATTTGTGATCAGCGGTATTTTAAAATTTAATTCGTGAAACTGTGTACATGTATGTGGTCTTGAAAGAGTGACGTCAGGGTGCTAATTTACAGCAACGTCCGAAGTGACCTCCGATGTAGGAAAAAGATTGTAAAAAATTTATTTTGTTAGATCGGAAGGCAGCAAAGTGGAAAACAAATCAGAAAGGAATGTGGTTAGTAAAGGATGAACCATGACGTTTCTCTTTCAATCCTCTGACCTCCATGTTCTGGTTATTAATTCATTACCCTCCGTGCATTACTCTCTAAACTGGCGGAGGGAATCTGGTGTGAACGCCAGATTACACCATCCCCGTGATGAGCTTGTTTCGTCTCATCACCTGATTGGCGGATGGTATTTTAAACCAGCTAGGGGAAGTTGCAGTGTGATCAAGACTTGGGGGTTAAAGGAATACAGTTAGCGTGTTTGTACGAATTGTCCCTCAATTATTACAGATACTGAAATTACAGTCTTTATCACTCCTCTGAACGGTAGAATAGAAAGCGCTGTCCTCATTCAGTTTAATCTTGGCACAGTAATTTTCTCGCGCAGCATTTTGTAGTAATTTTACGAATGTTACTCCATTAATATATTTAAAAGAATGAAACTGAGTTTTTCTTTTTTTATTTTGTGAACTCATTGTAACGGACCGTTTGTAGTAAGACATTTTTAGATTTGGCTATCGTACTTTGTTAGAATTTATTCTACATTATGTTAAGACCTTTAAGATCGGAAACGGAGCAGTTTTCATTAGTTTGGAATTAAGCTTTAAAGCTAAGAGGCCAAAGTTGAGTAAAATCTCTGATGTACTGATAGTAGCACGGCCTTAGAACTCGTGGTTCACAGGTGTAGTGACTAAGTAAACAACCTTTGAGGTATTTTATCAATCGACTTTCCCTAAAAAACGGATTTTGTGTTAACATCGAAACGACAGCAACGACATTGCAAGCAGCACCAACAAGAAAAACAAAACAAAAGAAATAGCCGAAGTTAGTGTCGTAGAGGGAAAGGCCGTGGTAACTATAGCATAAATACGACGAGGAATGTTATCTTAATGTTATGCTTAATTTTCAACATCGACTTAGTCTATCAATTTATTCGGAATCGTGCTCATTCGTTTTAGAGAAAGCATTAGAATATTGGCTTCGTGGTTAAATACTTGCTAAAACTTGAATTTTGCTTCTTAAGTTTCTTTGCTAACCTAACCTTCGGGCAGCTCTTAAGTTAGTAGAGTAGTTTGCTTTGCATGCATCGCAATTTGGATGATACAGTATAAATGTAACTGTTTCATTGTAAATTTAGGGAACTTTTAGATAGCAACGACGGTCAATGGCAGAGTTTTACCTGCTGATGATACGTGTCAATTTTCTTTGATTTACGTTCTAGCTTATATGAGATGGATTTGTAATCAGTTTACCGTCATTAAAAATGGTAACTTGCCACATCGTTTTATTTTTCTTTAATCGTTCCCTCAACGAGAGGCAAAAGTCTTGGCAAGTTCTACTATTTGAATTTTTCTCAAACTTGCATTTATCTTCCCTCTTTTCCATTGCAATGTTACCTGGCGTTACTTTAATAAATTAGTCATTCATTGCAACACAGGGGAAGAAGTGGACCTTAGGTAACTTCTCAAGGCTTTCATAATTTTTTCCATAAGCAATGCTATTGGCGTAATAGGCAGCTGAATCCTGAAAAGGGCTATGAGGCGAAACTCAAACACGAGAGCCTCTGCACGCAAGGCTAACCAGACAGCGGTAAGAGGTCATAAGGCAGCGGTAGACCGCCCGGGAAACGGCTTGCGAGTGACAGAGACGGAGACAGAATTTCTCTGTACAATATCAATACAACACGTAGAGAAGTAAGTTGGTAGATCCAATACCAATTCTTTGAACTATTGTATGGCAGACTGTAGCGAGAGTTACTAATAGAGATCCTAGGAGAGGAAGGGTAAATACCCTTGACTTACATAGATAAAATACAAGATTCCTGGTTGTTATGTTGAGTGGAAGGTTGTGAACCGCCTACTAAGGGGAGACACGCCAACTACTTTTTTCACTCATTGTACAAATCTTCCCTCTAGGCTAAAGATCAAAGCGAGAGGTTTAGACAAAATCTGGATTAAGATAACCTTGGGTTAGTGTGAAATCTGGTTTCAGATCTTAAAGCTTTCAAAGAAAATTCAGTCCAATGTTCTTTTTCCAAAATTTGATTATTGGATGCTCTAAAAAGAAAAGAGAAAATTATCCCAAAAAGGCTTTTGAACAAAGAAATCCTGATTTAAATTTAATCCTGGGTTAACGCCGATCGACCTCCGAACAACTGGGTCCTGGCTGGCTCTTGCTGTTTCGGGCAGTGCATTGTTGTATCACGATACATACAGAGTTCCTCTTGGCCACACACACGACCATATAACTATCCGTAGTCAATACACAGAAAAACATTAAAAAATGCTCATTTTATTGCTTATGTATGTAATGACTAATTTTGTATGGACGGAGTAAATAATTACCAATGTGGATTGTCAAAAATATCTTTTCCCTTCGAAAAGCACAACCTCCTTTCGATTTCAAAGAATTGTTCAACTCATCAATATTTTCAATTTCATTCAGTCATGAGGGAGGACAGTACGAAAAATCCTTGAACTTTCAAAACTCGTTTTGGCAAATTAAAAACGGCTACAAGCATTTGGTAGTAATATAATCATTGCAACATGCCTTTGTAATATTCAAGGCAGATAAATTCACTCTGAAACATTATTCATAAGCGCAAGAGGCATTTAACTAACAGTCTTTCGTGATCCAATCCGCTTTCAACGTGATTCAATTCGATCTCAATTCATCTGCACGCAACTGACAGCATCACACTCGCTTTGGTTTTCATCAATAGTAAGTTTCTTGTTCCAGCCAACCTAAAGAAAACAAGAAAAGTCGGCCCAAGTGGTTAGTTTTTTTTTTTTTGGCATAGATCAACAATGTCAGACAAAAGGTTTTTGGACACTCGCCCACAAGTGGCAAGATTGAAGTAAGACTGGACTACCGTTTTTTACCACAATTCCTCCCGCTCCACTCTTCCCAATTCCAATTCCAATCACATGTTAATCAACACAATCAGTGCTATATCCACAAAACGACAACATCGTGATTAGGGGAGGGGAGGGGAGGGCGGATAAACCTCTTCACTGAAAAAAAGAAAAGATGCTTTGAAGACTTTGTCTACGATTTCAGAATGCAAGTCGCAACACCCAAGCCTGACTTAACTGCAGACAAATTTCTTAAACAAAAGATGATGATAATAATGATAATGATGATGAAAGGAAAAGAAATCAAAAAATCTCTTATCGATTTTAATACAAAGTAAAGCGCCTACGAAGTGCGTTTTGTTCACCACCACCTCCCTGTCCTCGCTCTGATAACGAGGGAAAGGAGAATGTGGGCAGACCAGGCCAGAAAAAAAAAACACTGAAAACAAGTTTACTTCTCTATTTTTCAATTTCTTTTGATTGACCAAAGCGAAATGACTTACATCCCGGATGTCTTCTGATGATATATCTACGACATTCGTCGTACACAAAGATCAAAAGGCTGAAAGGAATGGCCGGGAACCACCATTGAGCCCTGTAGAAGAAAGTAAAGATAATACACAATATGCAAACTATTTGAATAAACTGTAAATAGTTTTAAACCAAAGAGTGACAGTTAATCGTTAAGTCTAATCGTCCTTATGAGACTAGTTTTTGGGAAGACTGTTGCCGGGAAGAGTGATTAGAGTTTCGGAAACCTTAGCAGAAGTCATCATAATGCCCGGTTTTCATATGTCGGAAAAATTCCACACGAACGGTTATTTCGCTGTTGTCCGACCGTCCCAGATTGTTTCAACAATTGAAAACTGGATATCGTAGAGATTCCCGACTGTCTGGAGAATGGTCGGCGACAAATTGGGAAAATCGCGAACGTTTCTAGTCTCCTCGATGATCGGCGATCATTAAAGATGTATGACAACTTCAATTTTCATTGTTAGAGACGTTAGCGATAGTTTCAGCTCGCTACCAGTCCTCTTGTTGCCTAGTCTACATTTCTCCTATCCGCAAGATGGCGCGCGGAAGAATCTGGGACGGTCGGGAAACAATGAAATTGCTGATCGTCTGTGATTTTCCCGACATATAAAAACCACGCTTTAAGTCTTAAAACTTCCTCTTGTGAATGCTACCGACAATAGGGCTTCTCAGGACTACACTGACCCAGGCGATCAGACTAAACGATCAACTACTTGGTTTAACTCTGCACAACTTTTAACCCGAGAACAAAATGTGCTCATTACGGTCTGTGTTAATTGGATTAGGCTCCTCTTCACAAAAGTTGACGACGACAAGCACCATCCACATGAATACAACCAAGTAACCCGGAAAACTAATTTTACCAACGGATCGAGATTGGCCAATCACAGCCGAAGTCTTTCTGCTAATAGAACAATACGGGATTTCGTACTTTGCTTTGGTTTTTCCTTTACTTTGCTTCGTGATTGGTCTAGAAAATACAAGCTCCCTCGCAATCACTCGGATACAAAACTGAAGTAATCGTGATTTGGTAACTCGCGTTTTCCGGCGCCTTTTCCCCATCTTACTCCGAGATTTCATTGGATCTTTGAGGTACGAACCAGTGTTTTGATTGGTCTATTGTCATTTTTTGGTTTTGGTTGTACGAATCTCTATCCACGGGCGCTCTATGCGACAGAGTGTACTTACAGTAATGGGTACATCCGCAGACCAGTAGACAGACCAGGAGTGTAGCACAGCAGTACAGCGAGGGCAGTTTCAAAGACCAGGCCAAAGTTCAGGGCTTTGTTACTGGTGCAAAAAGGTATAAACAAAAATTAAAACTTGACATAAATGATGATTAAAAAATAAATCCAGCGGACTGGTCCCATTTGAAAGCGAAGCCCGACTCATCACGCGTAGAAATCGAGAGTGCATAATCTAGTCATTTTACGATAAATCCATGAGTCGTTCCAAATTACACAAGACAGGCTCATACCGTTTTCCATTTTTTTTTACAACCACAGACTGTAGGGCTACCCTCTTCACTTACGATCTATCACGGAATAGTTGGCGAGTAGCGTAACCAATCAGATTGAAGCATTGTGATAGAGTGCGAATAGATATGTTAACATTGTACTATATCCGTTTGTTAAAGAAATATTGTAGGAAAAAAAAAACGACAAAAACGAAAAAATCACACCATACATGTCAACTTACGTCATCTTCTGCTTAATAATGGAATTCTTTCGAGTTTTACAGATGATCAGATCAGCCCACTGTACCACTACAATGCTGACAAAGAAAGCTGTGTGACATGTGTACTCCAAAATCTTCCTCTGGCTGTACGTCTACAGGAAAAACAATGTTAAAAGCTAAGAGCTCATGGGTTAAAAGAATAGAAATCCTCGTATATAAAGTAAGTGTGATGTGTTAAACATGTGGAAAAGTTTCTAAAACATAAAACTGATTAAGTGTGTGCGTAAGATTTAGAAAATCGAAATGGCCTTGTTGACTAGATAGAGCTAACGTGGCATATTTTCTCAACATCAAACTTCAATCTCAAATCTTCTATAGTGAACTTGGCTCGTTAGGGTTGAACAAGTCCGAGACATAAGAGACAGGCTGCAAGACCATAATAGGAAACTGTATATTTGGGACAGAACAGTTTTGGCTAAATAACTCCTTATTATCATATAACATTTTTCGGCTTGACGGGTTACCACTATTTTCTATGAAAATGGGGCTTCGCTGCGCACGCGCTGTGAGCTCCGCTATAGCTAGAAACTGTACAAGAGTTGATGAATCGAGATGGCTCACCCATTCCTGTCCATAGCTGTCAGGTACGCTGTTATTATCTCTGTCTTCCCATTCCGATCGAATACCAAACAGGCGAGTTGGAAAGAAACCATTTTCAGTCATAATGACGAAATACGTGAAGAAGCCTCCCAAAGCCTACAGACAATAAAATACTTGTAAACAGATAAACACTTATACCAAGACAGGTAACTCGAAGAACTAACTTAAATTAACGGGACAAGAATTTTCCTCTGTGTTGTTTTTAGATGGAACTGCAGCAAGATGAACCAGTAATTCCATAATGCAACGACAGACTTGTCCTCTGTGATTCAATTTCTTTCCAGCATGAAACGAAAAAGAGTGCAGGTACTAGCGAGTCACTTTGGGGAAAAAAGTTACCTGTTCTTTTCTGAAACCCACTTTTGCAGACTCTAAAAGAGCGAACAGCACTAGTAGAGAGTACTTTCCTCGCGAACACAGCGCAATTAAAGGACAATTAATATTTCGATAAAGACGTGGTTCAAATGACGCGTAGCTGCAGATATGTTGGTCTGCAGAATGACCAATTTACACCGTTTTGTTAGAATTTGGTACTTCACTCACCTGAATGAAACCAATTTGTCCATAAGTCATGGCAATTAGCCTGGAAAGAGAGAGTTGATATTAGAATCGTGCTGAAAAAATTCCGCTCGGTATTACCCAACAAAGGTTCAAGGAAAATTATGAGAGTTCAACAGAACAGTGCATAGATATCAACAAGCACTCTTGCTCTAAGAGGAAAATGTAATGTTTATCTTTTGGGGATTAAATGATACTCCAACTTCTCATTGCGCTGTCTGCCTGGGATGACTCAAGAAAGTTCAGTTAATTTTCAACATTTTTGCTATTATGGGTTAGTGACTCCGCAATTTGATTTATTTTCTTGAAAATGGTATTAAACAAAAGACCAACCATTTATCAACAAGATTTGATCATTTATTTTAAAGGTTACCATAACGACACTGCCACCTTAAAAAAACACCTTAATTTTTCACCTTCGCGAGTTTGCAACCGAGAAACCCAGTAATTTTCAGCCAATGATATATAACCGTATCAAGATTCGTCTTCTGCCAAAGTCTTAACTCTGTGGATTATGTTGAGAGCCACCTTTAACTTGGGTGGTTCTGAACGTCATACCTTTCATTAACAAGTTTGTCATGTAAGGGATCACGAGGCTTCCTCTTCATGATATCGCTCTCTGCTTTCTCATACGCCAAAGAAATGGCAGGAACCTGAGAATTAAAAAGGAAAAAAAATAATAGTAATAATAATAATAATAATAATAATAATAATAATAATAATAATAATAATAATAATGATCATAATATCATATTAAGCTTGATTTCTTACATATGTCTACGATGTTATTCGCTGGAGCCTGCTGTACTTACCATGTCAGTACCCAAGTCAATACAAAGAATTGTAATAATGCCCAGAGGTTGTGGAATGCCGATTATGATGAACATCAAGAATGGAGTGATCTCAGGAATGTTACTGGTCAGAGTGTAGGCGATGGACTTCTTCAAGTTGTCAAAGATCAAACGACCTGGAGAAGGAAAGATGAAACACGCAGGTCTATGGTTTTTCTATTCTAAAAACAAAAAATACCCAAGGAAAACACAAAGTTCAATGTAATTACAATAACACAACTTTATTCAGTTAGGAATTAACCTCGTCTGTTGTATCAGAAGGAAGGCAGCATGGTTTTCTCATCAGTTTTCAGGTGAGAAACTCCATGAAAGTTCATCATAAACAGACTACTTCCTACTTTTAATTCTATTGGCAAGTAAGGTTAAGTCTGTACTCAAGGAATTTCATAAGGCTTTCCTAATAATTTAACAGTACCCTTTTATAATCCTATGTATAGTTTAAAGTGTTTTGCCCATGAAACGAGGACAAATCTCAGCATTTGGAACATTTATAACTAATTTGAAACTTGCACTTTCAACAAACTTGTGCTTATCCCACCTTCTTCAACCCCAGTAACAATGGAGGCAAAATTGTCATCCAACAGAATCATATCAGCCGCCTGTTTGGACACATCTGAGCCTGCGATACCCATAGCAACACCTGGACAGACAAAAAAAGTGTTAGGCTTTAAACAATAATGCTGAAGTGAAGGGACGGAGCTGAGAGGGGGGGGTGGGTAGGGGACCGTATCACGCTGATAATATAACCCTTGACACGACACTCCATTAATAAGGACAAACACAGAGCAATCATAAATGTCAAGTCCGAGCGCCATATAATCTGAAATTTGCTTCACTCACCCAAAATTGTTGACTCTGACTTTCCACTTTCTCGACCTACATGCCATTTTGTTTGGGTACACTTTACAGTGACTAACTACTACACAACAACACCTCCTCAGAATTTTGGACTTTTTTTCGTTATCCTCGGCATTTCAACGACCACATTCTTTAGTCGTAAGGCAAGTCATTTAAGTGACAACTTACAACTTTAACGTACTCAGAAACTTGGAAGTTTTTTGGCATGTAGAAAATTACCTATGTCAGCTTTCTTCAAAGCTGGAGAATCATTAACACCATCTCCTGTCACAGCAACAATGGCCCCCTGTCTCTGGCAGCCTTCTACGATGATCAGTTTCTGCTGCGGGGAAGTCCTGGCAAATACAATTTCAGTGTGGTACTTCAAGATATCATCTAGCTGTTCACTTGAGACATCCTAACAATGAAACAGAAATTAAGAGAACTATAGATTAGCACTGAATGTGCACAACAACTTGTGATGAGGTGCAAGATATCGTGCATGCTGAATCCCTTTGTTCAAGCTAAAATATGATTTTTTTCAAACGCAGTACAGATGAGGTTATGAAAAATTGGTCCGTGCAATGAAGTAGGTGGAAAACTAAGCGCTTTCACACGAGTGCGTCATTGCCCGCGGGGAAGTATGGGACCTTGAACAAATGGGAACTGACGAGGGGTCTGTGAGGGATTTTATGCCAGACATCCGGGAAACCTTGACGCGACTCGTGTCAAATCTTCCCGCGGGCGGAGATACGCTAGCACTAACGGCCTTCTGACAAGCTAACGGTAAACAGCAGATGGTAAAAATTGAACTTATGGCCGTCTGCTTTCAGTTGTTTGGCCTCTATAATGAAAAAAATTGCATTTGCCGGGAACTAGAGATCTATCTACGTTTTTCCTTTTTTCACAGGGTTTCTATAAACGTTAACCTTGAACTCATTTATATTAATGGAGTCACATTCCACAGGAAAACATATTGAGACCTCAATTAGCACAACAGCAACAACAACGAAATCAACAACGGTAACACTAATTGCTACCTTGAGCTGTCCTCCGTGAACTACAATGGCTTTGGCATCTCGCGGATTAACATCAGCCACAGGGACACCCAGCCTCTCGGCGATGTCCTCCACAGTTTCAGTTTCTGTAGAATGGTTCAAAGGAAAGTTTGTTAATTTTCTTTCCTAAGATAATAACACTCGAATCCAAGCGTTTCGAGCCAATTTTGAGGACTAAGGACTACCGCGACCTTCAGGCTTTCCATATACCTTCAGATATGATTCCTACGCCCCTTGCGATGGCCTTGGCTGTGATTGGGTGATCACCTGTTACCATGATGACTTTGATTCCTGCACTGCGGCATTTGCTGACCGCATCGGGAACAGCGGCGCGAGGTGGATCAATCATAGACATTAAACCAACAAAGCACAAGTCTTCCAGAGGGAAATTGGGAGGCTAAGAGCAGAGAAAAAAACAATATACAGTATTATCTCTTTTAAGAATTCTATAAAACTCTTCAGCTGGAAAACTTTCATAAGCTTCTTTGTTCGGTTTCCTCAGGTACTGTGTTCTAGTTTTGAGATGTGAGTGATCTACAAAACGAAATTACCTCCCTAAGTTCGCTTATTTCCTCTACAATTGGGTAAGTTTCTAAAGAAACTGTGGTGCTGTGTTGGTGGGGGAGTATAACAAGGTTATTTTGGTTTTATTAACTGACTTGATAAGCAAACCTGATAAGCCTCTGTAAAGAGTTTTGAAAGCTGAAATTTCTAAAGTTTGGTTACCTTAACAGTTTGGTTACCCTTCAGTAGAGAGAGGCAATGTGTGAGTTCAGTGCCCTTGCAGAGAGCACTACACGGTGACCCACGAAGGATTCAGGCTCTTCGACTTAGAGATTTGGAGTCTAGCGAATCGGACTCCTACTTCGTGGTCTTCTGATTTTGTTCACAACTAGTAAGATTTCAGATCGAATCGGACTCCAATCTCCCACCAACATTACATGCATACCCCTCATTCGATGGTTTAACGCATAATACGGGCGGATATTTGACGATTTGCGTATGGGGAGAGGAAAATTACGAAAATACGTTCCGTTTTCCCATTAAGGTAAAATGGCGTTCTGGTGAAAAAGAAAAAGAAAAGGTATAAAAAAGATAGCCCTATTGTAACCTGAACTCACCTCATCAGCTACAAACTCAAATCCGGGTGGAAATTTTTCAGCATCCAGGTAAAAATGGCAAAAGCCCAACACACGCTCTCCCATTCCACCCAATTCCAAGTACGCCTTCTCAAAGGCTTCTTTCTTCGCCTCATCAAGGGGCTCTTCTTTGCCGTTCATGAGAATTGTGGAGCAGCGATCTAAAATTCTCTCTGGTGCCCCCTTCATGACCAAAAGGTAACGAGGATCTTCATCACCTTCCTGTTCGTGAATAGACACCTGGTATTTGTTGGTGGAGTTAAAGGGAATTTCTGCCACCTTTTTGTTGTTCTCGCGCATTTTAGCCACATTTCCTACTTGTAGTTCGATGCATTTTAGTAAAGCAGATTCTGAGGCATCTCCATTGGTCTCTCTGTTGAAAAATTAAATATATTTTTTACTTCCAAGTTGTAATTATGTTTGTAAATTTCTTCTCTTTATGGCAATTGTTTTTCAAAAGGGGTTTTGTACACAGGGCAAGGTTACTCTCTTTCCCACCCCCCCCCCGTAATTTTTCCTCGGGCCTCCCTTCAGGTAAGTTTTGCAGCAAATGCATCTTGGGTTTGTTCAAAATCATGCGCTCTATAGCCTGTAATGCAGGTGTCTAATTAGAACGAGTTAACGTTACAAGCTCGCGATCGTTTATCCGGCCGGCGATGTTTGATTTAGAGTTAGAGAGGACGGTGAAGGAGGGGGAGGCGACAAATTTCCACTGTCCCACCCCAGTCCTTCCTTTTTGAACGTCGCTCGCCCGTTGATACAAGCATCTTTTTCGCCCTAGCCTTCCGCTGCTGTAAAAATCAAATATGGCAGCTATGATTTTCACCAAGAAAATACTATGCACTGGTCTATGCCAGGTGCTCTTTTTGCCGTTTGCTATGTCGCCACGTTTTACTAAAAGAACGCCAAGGACAGACAAGCCAAGCGCTATATGGCGGTTTCTGTTATAAATCCAATCTTTTCAAACGCCAACTAAGATGGTGATTAAGATATATTAGCATAACTTAAAAATTAGGGGCCCGAAGCTTCTTACTTTTTGAGTACGGGTACACCGTCTTGTCCTGTCTTAAACTCTGCACGATTACATAAACCCGCCACTTTAGCGAGTGCAGTCCAGGTTTCTGTCTGTCAGAACAGAAGGTAAAATTGTTACTTTTGTTACATTCAACATTAAAATGGGAACACGAGAGCAGATGGCAGACTGCCTATAATCGGCTCTTACTGAAATCCCTGGGAGAGAGGAGTGCTCTTTTATCTATCAATTTTTTTCCGTTAATTTTCGCTGGTACCAGGGTAAACCTATTCCGAATGGAACTTGATTAAGGTGTGACACTAATTCAAGAATTTACTGTATACTAGAAGTTAGTATACATAAAAGCTATTTTCACATAACAATCTTAATGGTCCATGATAAAATAATTAGCATTAAAAGTCTATAATAACATAATGAATAACAGGAGTCTATGATCACATTAATGACAGTGAATGATAATAATAATAATAATAATAATAATAATAATAATAATAATAATAATAACAACAACAACAACAACTACAGAAGAAAAACTGGCATTATCCCAACGAGAGCTTGGATTTTTCAAAAGTGTACCTTTTCCATTGGAGTTCCTGACTGATCTTCTGTTGTATCAGCTTCAAAGATTTTGTCGTCAAACCACATGTGAGCTACAGAATAAAAAAGAGAGAAAATAAAAAAGCGATGTCTTTGTATATCTAGTACATGGACAAATCTCCCAGAAAACTAGTACATTATCGATATTTAAGTGTGTTCAAAGATCACATTCCTCTGTTTGAAATAAAAGACGTCGCTCCATTTTGTTTGGTTTCCTTGAAAAAAAAATTTTTCATGATAAGGACTGACAACAGCATACATGTAAATTGCAATTGAAAGTGAAGCATTGAAATTCAGAGTGAGTATGTTATAGAAAAGGAGAGTTATGTTTCTCAGTCATCAATTCAGTCATCCCTTAGCTGCAGAGCTCCGTCTAAGGAGCTTTTAGGCAGCTGAGGGTTGTGAAAGCTACCGTAAAGCCAGATATCGATGTCTAAGTGCATGTCATACGAGCAATGTTGAAAAATTCTTCATAGGGGTTACAGAAATTGAGTTCAGGCAGATGAAGCTTTCAGACCATCCTAATAAGCTACAGGCACGCACTCTAACTTTTGTCTTCTATGCAGTAACGAGTGAATTTCTTGTGCAGTTAAGAAGTTTTTACATACATGTACAATTCGTACAACACTTACCCACAGTCATTCTGTTCTGAGTCAAAGTTCCTGTCTTGTCTGAGCAAATGGTGGATGTACTTCCCAAAGTCTCAACTGACTCTAAGTTCTTCACCAAGCAGTTTTTGGCTGCCATTCGTTTAGCAGTGAGAGTCAGACAAACCTTAAGTAATAAATCAGGGTGTGTAAGCTAATTACGAATGTTTTAAATAGTCATGCATTCAACAGCATAGAAAATTAATAAACATTTTGATGTTTTAAGCCGTTTTTGGCTGCCGTTCGTTTAGCAGTGAAAGTCAGACAAACCTTGAGTGATAAATCAGTGTGTATAAGCCAATTACGAATGTTTCACACAGTCGTATGCATTCAACAGCATATAAAATTTATCAACATCTTGATTTTTTAAGCAATTTTTGGTTGCCATTCATTAAGCAGCGAGAGTCAGACAAACCTTGAGTGATGAATCAGAATGTAAGCCTATTATGAATGTTTCACACAGTCATATGCATTCAATAGTGCAGAAAACTAACCAAGATCTTGATTTTTTTATCCAGTTCAGGGAAGAGAACCCCATACTTAAAAAACAATAATTCCTTGGGATTGAAAACTGCAAATTAACTCCAATTTATTGTGAATGAAGGGGGTAACAAAACTGTGATGCTGCATTGGTGGGGGATAATGTAAATTGGCCATAATAGAGAGTTTTTAGAACTGACAATTTGAGTGCTAGCTTGTCTCAGTTCCAAACGTCAGCTTTAGAAACTCTCTACAGTGGAAAATTGCCATTATCAATTCAGGTAATAACACCAAATTATCTGAATTACCATTGCCAGGCGTGGGTCCCCTACAATCAAACCCCTTAAGTTTTCCTTCTTCCGTGATGAATTCCAATAAAAGCAGACTACCCAAGACTAGAGCCTTGCATTCTTTCAGATAACTTGTTGGAAGAAGTTAAAAATACTATGCATGCATGCCACAGGTCTAAGCATAATTAGATGCATAACACGCCAGAAAACGTGTTATTGATTATAAAGTTAAGTTGAGTTTTAAAATGAATGCTGCTTTGAAAAAAGGTCATTCATACTGTAAACATGGAAAATATTCATAGAAAATTACTAACTGTTACAGTTGCAAGTAGACCTTCAGGCACGTTGGCAACGATGATACCAATTAAAAAGATGCAGGCAGTGAGCCAGTGGTATCCAAGGATCAGTGAAAGAATAAAGAACGTCACTCCAAGAGTTACAGCAACTCCTGTGATAATGTGAATGAAATGTTCAATCTCCACAGCAATGGGTGTTTTCCCTGACCCTAATCCACTGGCTAAGTTAGCGATGCGTCCCATGACAGTGTTGTCGCCTGTTTGAACAACGATACCAGTGCAGGTTCCTTCAACAGCATTTGTTGAGAAAAATGCCAAGTTCTTTGTCTCCAAGGGATTGTCATGGGAGAATTCTGGGGTGCGTGCTTGGGGCTCCGATTCACCAGTGAGAGATGAGTTGTCAACCTAGAGGTACAAAAAGAAAAAATGATCGTAAATATTACAATTTATGTAATGAGCTGAATTATTTACGAGTTTTGATTGGTTCTTTCATCATAACTTATGATATTTTGGAGGGCAGATGCATATATGACATCACCAACAACAATCTCTGCTTCTTTAATATAAAACAGATACACTTTATGTCACCGTGGGTCTGTTCAGTAATAACTCAGAGAAGAAGTCAAATTGTAGCAAGAACATCGGTGACACACTCGGCTGCCTCTTGTGTGCTGCTTTTTTTGTTCTCACCACATTATGACGTCATCTGTGATCTTTTACTGAACAAGCGCACTGCAACATGGAATCTGTCCGATAGACTAATAAATATGGTTCTGGGCCAGGTTCTTTAAAACACGTTTTAACTAACCCGGAGTTAGTGTGAAACTTTTAATTTAATTTTATAGCTCTGCAAAGGGATTTTTTTCGTTTGCATTTTCCCCTGTTAATTTTGAGTCATACTGAGATGAAACTCGTTCTTAGCTCTTGCACACACCCATCTACACGAGAAATCAAATCCAAGGTTAACTTTTAAACCTAGATAAACGTTAACACCTTTCCGAACAACCCGACCCTGATAACGATGACAATGACAACAGTGATACTGATCACAACAATGGATAACAATAACGATGATTACAATGATTATAATTAACCCTATAACCCCTAAGAGTGACTGGCGTCTAATTTATCCTTACCACATCATCCCTGAATCAAACAGAAAGGTCAGGAGAATAAAGGAACTGATCACCCACTAAAACAGCTCATGATTATTTGACAAGTTATCCTTGTCAGCATTGTAGGAGATGTTTAGAGCGCAGTATACAGAATATGCATAATGATGTTAGGGTGTCAAGGTTTAACACTACTCTAGTAAGTGATGGTAAAGGATGAAAAGGGTTACATACAGCTGTTTGCAGAGAGCTTGTCACAAAAAAGACATGGTGCACGTGAAAACCTCGAAAGGTTACTCAACGTTAAGTTTACATCGTTTTCGTCGTTCATTAAGATCAGTCATTCCTATTTTTGTTTCTCGTCAGTTTGAGAATTAAAAGTCAATCTTGAGAACGAATTAAATTCATCAAACCCACTATACCTCTTCTTTACAGTGATGCTTTCTCAGATTTCCTTGAGATCCTGATGTCAAGGAACCGTGACCTAAAAACTACCCACAATGCCTTTCGTGGTTGTCGCGTGCACTGCACTTTTTCGACAACCTTTCCACAAACAGTTGTATGCAACCAAGTTATGAAAACTACATACACAAAAAGAATGTACCTTAAAACCTCGTGCTTCAGTTACACGGATATCTGCTGGTACCCTGTCTCCAAACTTCACAAATATAACATCCCCCACAACAAGTTTTTCTGCGGTTATGTTATGTTTCTCCCCATCTCTGAGGACAGTAGCTTCCTGTGAATGAAACATTTTGTTTCCATGAACTCTACATCTTAGAAAAGGACTGTTACATCATGTCTTGAAAGGTTCACAGAGTTAACGGCAAGAAAAAAGTTTCTTTGTTCCCCACAAAGAAGGGGTCAATTGCAGACCACTGTACCAAGAAATGTGGAGGTCTAGGGTTTGTTTCCTTGTGGGAACTCAGATTTTTTCCATGTCCAACACTAGTAACTGATAAGCACCTTAAGTAAAAACTATGATAGAATGCTCGAACGCGATTGGTGTTCACCAGCTCGATTTGAGCATAAATATGACAGTTTACGCATCATGCTTGTAATTGGACAGTATAATAGGACAGTATAAAGGGACAGTTTACACGTCATGCCTGTGTAAGTGGACAGAACGCGTCACGTGCGCGTGCAGTTGTCTCGCATTTCGCCGAGTTAACTGTTGTTTTTTCCTTGTGAAAAGGTATGACAGATGTCTAGTCTCTTTCTTAAATTTTGTCACAGTTTTGATTAATTGGCAACAGGACTTCGTGTCATCCAATTCTGTCTGTAATCATACTCATGATTAACAAATCGGACTCCCAAGAATCACTCGAATGATTACAGACCGAATTGAACTCCACTCGGTGCTACCGGTATTACTATTATCTATTTGACAAAAAAACAAAACGTTTATTTGACAACCAAACTCAGACCAACCATTGTCTTTCTACATACCTGGTATAGAATACAAGTTTTAACAGTTGCAAAATATTAACATTTTGATTTACTCTGTCATACCCCATAAATAATAGTTTTACATTCCAACATCCACAATGATGAGGAAAGTAATTTGATCATTCCAATGCCTTATTGTTCTTTACAAGGAGCCAGTTTAAAGTTTTGTTAAATTTGTAATTTGAGACTTACTGGCACTTCAGTCTTAAATTCAAGACTTCTTGGGCACAGATCTGCAGGTAGAACTTAACTACAATCATATGCAAATTTCGATCACTCTCTTACCTGTGGGACCATTTTCTTGAAACTCTCCATAATCTTAGAACTCTTGGCCTCCTTAACTCAAGAAATCAGCAAAAGAAAATAAGTAACTATGAGATTGTGTAGTTATGGAGCCTACATGCACCCATAATCACCATAAACTTTTTCAACATGCAAATTTTGCATGTAGCCACTTGGATTGCAAAAAAATATATATATGCACTTGATGTTAGGAATTTTGTTTACAGTATTAAAAGCTGGTACACTGACCTGGTAGTAGGAGAAACATCCAGTTATGATAACCACTGTGGCAAGAACTATTCCAAGGTAAAGCTGAAAGAAAAAAAAAAGGAACTTGTACAACTGAACTGAAGTCTAAAAAACATTACATGTTGTATCATTTGTATATTTAATTGCATAAATTGGCCTGTGACCAAATGCATCTCACTCCTTTGGGGTCTGGTCTAACTTACATCAAGGTCAGGCTATCACAACTAAGGACTTCTAGGTCGCATATTTGATTGGAGATGAAAGTCTGGTCTTAGCATGAGTGCATGCACAAACATGAGAATAACAGCTCTTATTTCACTGTGAAACAGCCTTTAGCAAGCAAAAGTGCAAGAACAAGGAAAAGGGTTGCATAGCAGCCATTTTCACCATGAAATAACAGATGTTAATCTTGTGTTTGTGAATGCAATCATCAGCTTACACTACCAGTAAAAAACAGGCTTTGTCTTGAATTAAAGATCCAGTGAAAAACAGGCTTTGTATTGAATTAAAGATCCTATTGGTCCATATCTGTGATAGCCTGACCTGCATGTAAGTTAGATCCCATGGCAAAGAAGTAAGCATCACTAGCAAAATTCCTAGGACATGAGCCACAAACACAGATCATTCATGTCAGCTCAAACAAGTTTGCAAACAGCACCAGGTAACTCTCCATTGTTATATACCTAGACTTTCAGTCAACAGATGATCACTGTAATTGGTCGATTCTTGGTCATATGCCCGTGATCAAATTCGAATGTATCCCAACCAGGATACAATTGTGCAGTTGTTGCCCATGTGTGTGTGAATAAAGAAGTTGTGCCCTCTTTTTTTTGTCTGTTTTTGCCATATGATTGTTTAAAGGAAAGTATAAATAGATACCACAGCACATAATGTATGGTCCTGAGGAAAACTAATTAGTTTTGTTTTCCCTCAAATCCTACTGTTTCCCTCAACTTCGTCTCCAGAAACATCAAGACTCTTGGGAAAACAAAACAAACTGTTTCTCTCAAGGCCATACATTAAACATGTAATATTCATTACTTACATCATCTTTATCTGGTTCTTCCATTGTGGATGCTTTGATGGCGAAAGTAATGAAACAAAGAAAGGCACCAATCCATAAGAGCATGGCAAAGCCACTGAACAGCTGTTTGCAGAATTTCACCCATTCAGGAGTCGTTGGTGGTGGAGTCAGAGCATTAGGTCCATCCCGCTCAAAGATTTCATTAGCCTTCTCTTGTGTGAGACCCTTTAGGGAACATTATTATAAAACTTTTGTTAAAGCTAATGCTTGTGTAATTTTCAAAACATGACAATGCATTTGAGTCTGTATGCTTTGCCTCATCCATAATAGCATTACCTACATTGTACTTTAACCTTTTAACTCCTAAGATCTGATTGTTAATTCTCCTCTCTAGCTCCTACACATTTACTTGTAAATTAGTATGAGAACTTGGTATTAGATCAAGATGACAACTTTTGTCTGATCAGTTTGAGCATACTCATCAACTGTTTGCTGGATCTCAAACTCAGCATCTCTACAATTTTTAACTCAAAGATCTCAAACTCAGTTTTGCTCACTTTCCACAATGCATTTTGTATAATTATAACTCAGAGAAATTGTTGTTAATTGGAACACCATCCCTTTGTTGACATCTTTCCTTGTGTCTCCTCACTTTTTGAAATTATAATGTACTAACATTCTCGGGAGAACATCCCTTTGGGTCACCCCTGGGTGTGGAAGGGTTCACATGAACTGTTTATAGTATCACCAGTAAGAAATAGCCTGAATTTAATCCCTTGACCCCAAGGAAAGGGTTGTAGATAAGAGCCAACAGCCAGCAAAGTACGCCAGCTTCTCTGCAAGGTTTCGCTGGCTACTTCCATTGCTTCAAGAGCCCATACAGAGATGATGTTTATAACGTCCAAACTTGGGCTCAATAAAAATATAAATTTGCACTGCCTATCTTTTCTGAAAACGTAAAAAGACTTCTGACTAGAGGTTAGTTTAAAGATGTTCTGATGGGGACTGTCTTTTTGACAAATCTTACTGCAGTGGCAGGAAAGTACGAATGATATGATGTTTTGTCTGCCATATTGGATTTCGAGACCCACAACCATTTACCTTTAAAAAAGCTCTGGCTACTTAAAACCTTAAAGAAAATCCTGCAAGGAATGACTAGCATCTATATTCTCCTCATAATATCACCCCTGAATCACACATTAAGGCCACTAGAATAAAGGAAATGATTTTAAAGAAACTCCTGATTGTTGATTAAATTCTCCTTGTCAGTACCTTAAAGAATGTATGGTTCTCAGTATGGAGAATATGCATACTGATGTTAACCCTTTACCTCCCATGAGTGACTAAGACAGAATTTCTCCTTACAATATCAATACAATATCAAGCAGATAAGTGATGAGAATAAAGAAAATTTTCAATTTAAGAATAATCAGTTGATCCAATACTAAATTCTATGAACTATCATTATAAGAATTGTATGGTTGACAGTAAGGAGAATTACAAATTTGATCTAAGAGTTAAAGGGTGAAAGGGTTATCTTCCTCATTAATTGAAGTGATCCATAGTAGATAACTCTTACCTTTTGCAAATCAGTGCTGAGCCTGGCTTCAAGATCCTCAAGTGGTATCTTGTGCTCATCCTTCAAAAATGAAAAAAAAAATTATCATCAAATGATAGACTGAAACTTTGATAAGTATTACACAATTCTATGGCAGTTATTCACCATAGCATACAAGCAGGCCCTCGTCATAGTGCTTCTCCACCAGCATTTCCTTGCTACAGCCTTGAGCCATGTGAGCTGGCCAGAGGTATGGGTCTACTTGTAGAAGTGATAATTAATACTGCCAGACCCCAAACAAACCTGTTTGCGACTCATCTCAAATAATTCCACGAGCAGAGAAACAAATCTCTCACCGAGCTGATAGAAAACTTTAGATCTGACAATGAGAACAACTACGACTATGAGTTTTCCTTGCTAAGAGTAGTGCATTTTCTTCACAAGGTGACAGGTCATGCAAACTCTGAATAATTTTGTAGCCACCCCATCACTAAGAGTTTTACTGGAAATCTTGTAGTTGCACTATGAGTTGAAAGGTGAGTCAAAATTCTTCTATTTTCAGATAAAACTTTTTCAGGAATACCAAAAAAAGAAAAAAGGAAAAAAAAAAAACAACAGAGAATTGCAAAGAAAGTATATTCAGTAAGGCCTGACTTCTATCTGTGAAGTGTTCTCCTGATGCAGAAAAAGCTACATTCTCGTGCATAACATCATGATTGTATCTAAAGTTACAAATTTGTCACAGCTGATGAAGACTATGAGGGACAAGTGCCACTCTACTCCCAGCCAAAACTTGTAGTCGTAGTGGTAACGGTAGTCAGATCTTAAGCTCTGTAACAAGAACATGCTGGCAGGCTACTAGTCACCATTGAAAGAAATCAATTTTTTTAAATCATTTTTTTTATGCTACCATTTCCAGTTCTTGTTTGAGATCTTCAAGCTTGTCTTTGTCCTTGTCCTTCTTTCCCTTCTTTTCTTTTTCAGGAGCATGTTTCACCAAAGGTGTGGTTACAGCTTTGTCGTCATCTGCCTTCCCATACTACAGGAGAGAAAAATAAAACAATTCAACATCATTGTCATCATCCTCTCTATCATCAACCTTTTAACCCTTTGACTCCCAGAAGTGATTAACAAGTAACTTCTCCCTATAATATCCATACATTATCCAGCAAACAGGTAATGAGAACATTCAAACTTATCAGGTAGAAGCTGTTCTCTTACTCTAGCACCAAATTCTTGAAATTAATTTACAAGGAAATGTGTAGCAGCTAGAGGAGAGAATTGAAAATCGAACCTTGGGATTTTAGGTGTTAACCCATTTGCTTGCCAAATCTCAACAAAAATTCTTCTCCCTGTCTGCTGAATATTAAAGTCTCATAGCCTTTTTCTAAGAATTGAGCATTAAATTTAAAAAAAAATACTACCACAATGACATTTTTATGTGCTCCTTCTATGCTCAACAATTACTTACATTGTAGCTAGAAATAATGCTTTTATCAATCCTGGGAGTGAAAGAGTTAAGTCAAATGCAAAAGATGTTTTATCTTAGTAGTATAACAATATTTTAAGGTGACATAATTCATATCTGTGAAAATGTTTAGAGATATTCTGAGCCCTTTTGAAAACATCTTGTAGAGTTCCGAGAACATCCCCCCCCTCAAAAAAAATAAAAACACAAAAAAAAATCTCAAGTGTTGTGTCAGGAGCGCTTTTTAAGTGTGTTCCTAGCTGCATGCAGCAAAGTGAAGCCCCTGATGATATTTTTCTTTATTCTCATCACTTGTCTGCTTGATATTGTACGGAGAAATGTTGTGAGAAATTCCGTCTTGGTCACTCATGGGAGTTTAAGGCTAACATGAAGTCTATGCATATGGTACACTTTTTTTCCTCTTGCTTTATTTTCTTACTACAACAATTCTCAGGGTTCAAAATGACTGCTAGTGAATGGATAACCTTCGCTAAAATGTAAGTTTTGTCTGTTCTGTTTGGTAATTGAGATGTGATGTAACGGATATTTGTTCAAAATATAGTTTGATCAGACAACTTGATTGCAACTGGCTGGAAAATAAATTCATACCTGGTGCATACTGCCAACTGCTCAGAATAGGTCCATTTGATTTATTAAACATGCCTGACATTTGTTGGTCAAGAAATATAGGACAAAAAAAGACAAAAAAATAAGTGAAAAAAATATATATACTGAACCTCATCAGCAGTGCCACCAACATCAAAATTTTCTTGAAGATAAGCAGCCCCGAGCTCCTCTTTTTCCTTCGTACCATTCTCCATTATCTGAAAAATAAAACCATGTTTTCTATCACCAAAATGTTGCCTCATTCATAAAAATAAATCAAAATTTCTTACAAGAAGTGAACTGCCAGGCAAAAATGAACATCACAACAAGTCTGTAGATCAATACATCAACCAAAAAGTCAGTAACAAATAACGAGTGTGGGGAGATATGTGTTGTGCAGCTATACGACAGACCAAACAATAAAACTACATGAATGAACACATGTAAATGCAAATAGAAGAAATTGAGTAAAACATTCACCTAAAATATTATGCACAAAATGGACACAAAGTTGAATTTCAGACACACAAATTAAACTGAGATTGTTTGAGTTTGCCAGTAAAAATGAATCTGATAGAAGTCTGGAGAAATAAAAGAAATGCTAAAATATTTCCTGTTTAATCTTCTAGACAAGAATTTTGTATACAAATGGAAAAACATTACTGATAATGGTGCCCACAAAGCTTTTTATTGGTCATAAGTAATAATCTTTACACATTTAAAAGGAAAAATTAACAGAAAACAGGAATATTTAATTTTAGGGTAATAAATATTTTATGAGCTATAACAGAAGTCACCTGCATGGAAAGAAAGAAAGTAAAAAACAGGCAAGTGAATCATTTATGAAATTAGAAAAAAAAAAGCAGATACAAAATTGAAGAATATTCCTGCCAACTTCAATAATCAGCTCATATAACCATTTCTCAACTTTCAAAAATACATGAAATTTCAAATCATCAAATCTTGAATTGATTCAAATTTAAAATTCTTCAAACTGTTTACTGTCAAATTTAAGAGTCGTTAACTTTTAATTCAGAACTTGGAACATGTATGATTAGAGTATTTTGACATATTACAAACAGCCAAAGAGCCATATGGTTTGGTAAGAATGTGTGTAGGCATGGGAAGAGGGAGGCTAGAAATTTCTCTCATCCTGAATTTTTTTTCTTTTCTTTTTTTTTTTAGGCAAGGCTATAGATGGATTATTTTTTTTACTTATAATTAACCAGTAGTGTCCTAAAGTCTCTTGTGATTAATTATCAGTGTAAGAATAAACAGCTGTAACCACAAAGAGAGACCTGTAAGTCTTACCAATAAAATCTTAATCTTTTCAACAGAACATCAGTATACATATTCTCTAAACTGTTCTTTATGCACTGCTCAAGGTGCTAACTAGGAGACTTCGTTTTACAATCAAGAGCTTTTTTAGTTGATAATCGCTTTTTAATTTGATTCAGGGGTCATAATTTGTGAGGAGATTTTAGATGATGATCTCCTTAGGGGTGCTAAAAAGCATCAACATACTCTAGTGAGAAGTATTGTGAAGCCTTTTAAAGATCAGAATGGGTCCGCAGACTGTCATTCATTTGAACCCCTAGGTATAACTGTATTTTTTTAAAAAGCTACAGACAATATATTCCACTCTGTAGCTGGCACATATCTTATGTCCACAGTCATATGAACTTGTCCAAGTGTTAAAAATTAGGGCTAGTACTGTCTCTATCCTTTCACTCATTCTGTATGAATTTCTGTTTGTGTTTAACCATATACACCCCAACATCAGGATGCATTTTCTCAATACTGTTCTCCAAAAATTCCTTATGATATTGGCAAGGAGAATTTTCTCATCAATCAAAACCTTCTTTAGCTAATGATCATATCCTTTATTCCCATGACCTTGATGTTTGATGCAGCAGTGATTTTGTGAGGAGAAATTAGATATAAATCACCCTCAGGGGTTTGAGGGTTAAAATAGCTGTTAGCATGGCCTGAAATCATTATTAGCTGTTGTTTACAAAATCACACAGTTTAATATCCCCACAATTGCAATTCAAAGTCCCATAACTGATGTCTACAAAATCAAATGGGTGTTTCACATCAAATGCTACTGCCAATTCTGAGAATGAATACTATTTTGTGCTTTAGGTATGTTTGGATGTTTGTGGGATTAGAAGACACAACAAATACTGGGGCGGATATTCCACAATCTAGGCATCTTTTTGTCTCACACTGTTATGCTGTGAATGCAATTTTGTTTTTCTCCATGGAACTAACATTTTTTTTTTTTGGCTTTCATTTCTGGTAAATGAATGTCAGCCCAAAACCGCCCATCTACTCTTAAATGAATTTATTCATCGCATGGGACGGTCACTGAAAGTTTGAAATCAACAATGAAAACACACTGTCGTGAGGGGTATTCTTTCCAAAGACAAATCACTACAGACATAAACACAAAACACAAATCACTACAATAATAATTGCAGCTTACAAATTTATCATGAAAATATACTATGGCTTCCATCTGTCATTCATTTGTCCGCAAATGACAATTACAAGGAAAAAATGGAATTTGAAAGGCGTTGAAGCTTGTAAACGTGATATTGAAATCCAGTTGAATATGCGATATTGCTTTGGTCTTCACCCTTCATTAAGCTATATTACGAATATGATAAGATGTCTCGTTTAAATAAAAACAGCTTGAGTAAAATCAATTATAAATAAGAAGGGAAAGCCATAACGCAGAGAACGGCATCAGTCGATCGACATTTTGCGAGCGATCCAAAAATAAAATCGATAAAATATTAACATTCACTTTCGCATCGAAATCACTCGACTGCGGAAAGCTACCCAAGCTGTATCTGAATTTTTTCGGATGACACCGGCTTGAAAAACATATCGTACTCATTCGCAGAAACAATCAATATACATCGCCGTAAAGCGAATTTAACATGTCATGCACGTGTATCAGAAACAATAGTTAACCACAACAAACATCTTTAGGGTGTGTGCCAGCGTCGAGAATCATGCCCACGCTAAAAGCGCTCTAAATACTTTCAAGACGTTATGCTTCTGATTTAATGACAAAGTCGCTGGAGTAATTCTCTTTCCTAACGTAACCGGCTAAATCGATTCAGAAACGCACCTTGCAACGAGAAGTCTGTTGTTTATCTGGTCATTGTGTGACAAAAGTAATACCGCAAGCTGTTGTGACAAACAACTGAAAGATCTGCCTTCGTATATTTCATTCCTCAATAGGGAATGCTGATCGATGGACTACAGATAACAAATTTCACAGACAAGCAATCTGTCTACATCTCAGCTTTCTTTCTCGTAGTATTGCAATTAACACAATCAATTGCAGCTGCCAATAAGGACATACATGATTCATGTATCCGGGCATGTTTTACTAACTTCAAACAAAGACCTGAGCTCGTTTCGATTCTTTGGCGACATGGATGTTTATGCACATCAAGTGATCTTACTCAAAACATATCCCCAAACTGATTTTTTCTAAATAAAAGAAAATAAGAATTTTTATGTGATACTTACCGCGAAATTCAACGCCTTCTTTGCAGGTATGTATATCACTTGCGGACTTGAAACGCTCACACAGCCGGGCGGAAAAATGAGATTGACAACGAATTATCTTCCCTTGAAATCTACTACAGCTCGATCAGCTAACGTGACTGCAAAATCTAACAGGTTCACCTCAGGCGCAACCACTTGGAAAATCCCAAAACAAAGAGCAATATTCTCTGCACCTCTGCGATCGTCTCGCCAGCTCCTCCTACCGTACGGTACGCGCGATCCGATGACCCAAGCGTGGGGGCACACGTGTTTTTTATATGCCGACGTTGACGAAGGGACTTCGGTAAACTTCGGCGATGGACTTAGTTCCGGAAGTTTATCGACCGAAGATCGATCGTTATGCAACTGTCAAATGGTTTTGAGTAGTTGACCCAGGAGCTCCTGGGATCATACTTTAAATGAATCATAGTACATCGTAAATCTTTATATTTTTCCGAATCGCGTTGCTTGGCAAAGTTGGAAGGGAAAACTCTTGTGCTTACTGCAGTCTCAGGTAAGCTTTGATCAGATTTTCTTTTCTTTCGTGTCTTCTAAAAGCATAAACAAACATACATCGCTGTGAACATTAGCCACGAGGCGTCAGTGAAATTGATGAGTCACGCGTCTCCCGCGCGAAACATAATTCTACAATGTTTGATTCACGCAAAGACCAAGCTGAGCTAAACTTCACTGTGATTGTTTCAAAGTAGTCCTTGCTCTTACCTGTCGAAGGAACTGCAACAACAACCAAAAAAAACACACTTTTTTTTAGTTCGAAGCAAATAGCAAACCTCAGCGCTTTTTTTTGTTGCAGGTTCATGCAGCAGGTTTAATCTTAACGCCCTCAGGAAGAGAACCACGAAAAATGACCCCCATTTTTTTTTATAGCCCTGTGGAACATTTTATTTTGCTTTTGCTTCTCCCAGTTGAAACTATATCAGCAGCCGACTGAAACCATTTTTGTTTATGAAAAATAAACTTACGATTTTTACAACTGCAATTTTGGTATGTTTCCGTGTAATTCTTCACACAAGACCAGATTCTGTCGGAAACTACAATCAATACATATGTTATCAAAAAAATGGACACTAGCGTAATTAAAAAACTCTAATTTCCCCTCTGGACTTGCCAGGTGTCTCAAACAAGATTGAATTCTGCCTGCATTTTGCACCTTAATTTTGTTTGCATGAGACGTACTTCGTTAAATAGTGTATTGTTATTATGATTTTAGTATTTTGGGGAGTGAGTCAAATTACTGCAGTTCATGTAGGCTGGTTTATTCATATTATTCCCGATTTTTATCCTTGTAATTTTGCACTTCTGTCGAGTGTTATTATTTTTATTTATTTATTTTTTTTACTGCTTCTTTCTGATAATCCCGTAAAGTTAGTCAGTCGATGTATTGGTCTGTTACTCAATGATATAATTTAACCAAATCATCACTACTGCTTGGTGGTAGCACTAAGGTCAATGGTTGCTGTGCATCTGTTCACTAATCGGTCACAAATGATGTCAAGATGTGGTAGGAAACAAAAAGGGGACACATGCAGCACAACTAAGTGCGTCACCAATGTTCTTACCACATTCCAACTTCTTCTTCTGCAGAACAGACACACAGCAACGTAGAATCTATGCATTCATAAGATGAATTAAATAATTGTGTCTTGATATTTATAAAAAGCTGGCTTGTGAGGGTGTTGTTTCATGGAGATTTAATCAGAAACCAAAAAGACTGCCCAAATTGTTTCTCAAAGCTGAATAGTTATTTCTCAAAACAGAAAACCTGTAGGGAGTAATAAGCATCCTAAATAATGCGGTCAAGACAAGGCCTTTGAACAAGACAATTTAACACAGCAAAGTCTAGCTGATTTCATGCATAAAAAACCCTTGGCATTCAAAGAGCAGCAAACTGAAAATGGCAGTGGCTTATTATGGAAATCGAAAACCAAAATACAGATAGTAAAAGCTATTAGATCAGTATCAAATATGACCAAAACTGGGAAACTGAAAAGCCTAAAAGAAACACTCTTTCTTTGCAGATTTGTTAAAATTATTTTTATTCATCATGTTTATATCCCGGTTTTGTATTTACTCAATTTTATTAACAGTTCCAACTAAATGTTTAGCATTTCCAATACTGTGTCTACTCAAGGACAGCATTAATATTTTTCAATAGTCCATTTTATAGTTGTGTAATTGGTTGCCAAGCCTTTGAACAGGAGTGAGGCTAAGGGTGACCATGTTATGATACAAACCTTGCTGCTTTTCAAAAGTAAATTACTTTGTTCTCATGCTAACTAGAAACTGGTCTCTATCACAACAAGGTCACCTTCAGCCTTACGCCAAATCAAAGGCTTGGCAACTAAGTACACAACTATAAAATTGTCTATTAGAATGAAATTGATCTCTGTATTATTTCATAACTAACTGACAACAATTGAGGTTAATCATTTCATACGTAAGAATAAAGGGAGATGTATTGGTGTGATGGCTGGTACACTGGACTCTGTGACAAGACGGAGGCTTGGTTTAAGACCAAGCCAGATCAGTGTGTTGTGTTCTTGGCCAAAACACTTTACTCTGACAGTTCCTCTCTCTACCCAGGGGTACAAATAGGAACCAGCAAGTTTTCAGGGAAGCCTGATGAAATGTTGGGGGGTAACTTTGCGATGAACTTGCATCCTATCTAGGGAGGAGTGCTAATACTCTCAGTCACCTCATGCTGAGAAAACTGGGATAAGCTCTAGGTGGATGGACTTTTTGGCTCAAGTACAGACTTACGTGTACCTAATACCTATTTGATACATAGCTGACTGATGTAGAAACTTTCAGTGAACGCATTTTTTTTTCTCTCATGGCTGTGCTTTTCCATTTAGGACTACGACATATCTGCAGCATTTACACTGAAATTTACACTTCTCAGCTATGGCAGACGGCAAGAAAGATTTATTTGTGGTTGCAGTTCAGAAACACAAACCCAATGAAGAAGATGACCTTGAGTCAGAGCAAGCTGTGAACACTTCTCCAGATGTTGCTGCACAGCTATCTGTGGAAATTGGAGAGAAGTTTGAAGTTCTTGGGAGAGATGTGGACTGGTGGCTTTATGTAAAACATGTCGGCAGTGGAGAAAAGGGTTACATTCCCAGCACATGTGTGGTTCCTCTGAAGGATGATTTGACGCAAGAAGAGTAAGTTACAAATACAGTAGATAGCACTCAGTGGAATGTTCCTTACAATGTACATGTGTATTAGTTAGGCTTATCTGATTTTTTCTTGTATATTTAGGCAAAGATCTAAAAATTTACATTAATTCACATTGAAACTTAATTTCTCACCATGGTCTCTCTTTTATAATGTTGCCTCTGAAGTAGCAAACTGGGGCTTAAGTTGTTTTAAATACTAGTTGACTATCAATTGAAATAATGATTTTTCTAGATATAATTTAATCCTTGCTCTCTTTGTACTTGCACCAAACACCTTCCTTCATTTGGAAATTCTTGCTCAGAATAAAGGAATGCATGTATTCGCTACTTAATTTTTCTTCTAATTTTCAAGGGAGCATGCTCCCGTACCCATGCCCCCTCCCCTCAGGAAGGTGATGGCCAAGACATCACAATCAAAGGCTGTGCAAAACTCACTCTTTGCTTGCAAATCAATTTTTTAAAATCTCTGCTTTGATATATTTGTCTCTTAATACCACATCACATTTTTGAGAAATTTCTCTGTATTCTTTTAAATCACACTGCCCAGAGGGGGACAATAGAACAACAGTATAAAGCAAAAAACCTTCTCTACCCTGTGCTTTTTCCAAAGGAGTAATTCTCTCAAAAATAGACCTTAATAATCCAATTTACAGATGTGTGCTTGGTTGCCCAAGTCTTTGAACAGGAGTGATGCTAAGGGTGACCAATTGTTATGTTACAAACATTGCTGCTTTTCAGATGTAAATTACTTTGTTATCATGCTAGACTAGATACTGGTCTCAATCACAACAAGGTCACCATCAGCCTCTCTCCAAATCAAAGGCTTAGCAACTGGAGTTTGCAACTGTAAAATGGTCTACTAAATATTTGTGGCATATTAGTTTGTTTGCTGAACAGCATTTTTAACTTGATAATTTGTTATATAAGTACTTTTAAATTTTGTTATGTTTTGTTTTGGTCTGTCTTTTGAAGAGAGGATGGGATTGCAAAAGGAGCAGAGCTGACTGCAGCTCTGGTGAATACATCAGTTGATCTGAAGTTCTTTCCTGAAGCACCAGTAGAGGCTGAAAACAGAGTAGGCTCTTTTAATATTTTTATCTTATTTACATAGGTAACAACATGATTTTTAGTGCAATTTGGTGTTAATAAGCACAAATAAATTTTTAATAGACAACAAAATTGCAACACCCTGTGGAGTGAGTGCAGTTAGTAATCTTTGAAGAATTTTCAAGTGCTCATTTGCACCAAATTGCATGAAAAATTAATAATTGTATGGGAAACTATTATGTTGTTACTTGATTATAATTTACATGAAAAAAGGTATGACAGAAAGTCAAGATGGACAAAATTTTTGTAAGGAATAAAGAAACTCTATGTCATTTTTACAAATTCTTTTTGTTTCTCAAATATTTGGTCAGGGTAAGTATGAAAAGAGGGCTACATGTACGAGGGTCACAGTGAGAGTCATGTGATTTGTTCCTGAGGAGTTTTATTAGTGGACAAAATATGATAGATTATAATTAATAGTTTGCTTTTCTTTTATTTTTTTCCTCTCTCTTATAGAAACCATGCCCTGAAGATTCGGCAAATATTTTTTCCAGGTTGGGATTTATGTGGCTCACAAGGTAATTACAATTCTGCAGTTGACATGTGTTTTGAAAACAATTTTAAAGTCTGAAATTAAACAATCACAATCAAGCTGTTTGGCTTTTCCCAACTCTGCCCATGTCATTACTAATAATTTTGATTATAATTTTAATCATTTGAGCGCTAAAGCCCTTTAATGGGAGTAAGGTCAAGTCTGTACCAGAGCCAAGTGACCCACCCAGCCAGAGCTTATCCAGGTTTCCAAGGCATGAAGTGACCAGCAGAATCACTACTCCCCCCTGGATGATGAGATGCTAGTCCATCACCCAGGGGGGGTCATCACACTTCCCTGACAATTGGTCTTATCCATTTGTTCTCCTGGGTGGAGAGAGAAACTGTGAGAGTGAAGTGTTTTGCCTAAGAACACAACACTTGGACCCAGTCAGGTCTCAGATATGACCACTCAACTTGGAGTCCAGAGCACTGACCAGAGTTCAGGCCACGTCTTCATATGGGAATGAAAGGTTTTATTAGTTTGAAAGTATTCATCATGAGTAGCCTATACTGGGTGACAATTAAACTAGAGTTTGAATGAGAAATTTTCTTACTTTTAACCTATTGCTGCTTTTTCTTGTAGTTTGATTTTTAAAGGTTTCAAGAGGCCTTTGACAGATGCAGATTTATGGGCTCTGAACAAAACTAACAGATCATCAGCAGTTGTTCCACCGTTTGTCAAAAAGTGGAAGGAAGCAGAAAGTTCCATAAGGTGATCTGCAATGATAAGTCACGAGATAAGGAACCTTTTCTCATGTTCAGCTTAATAATAGCAAAACCATTGTTAATAATTTCAGCAACTATAATTTCATTTAGTTTCAAATGAGTGCTACGGTACTCAAAATCACAGTACTGTATGTATTTGATTAAAAGTCCACCTTAAATAGGCGCTCACCAGGCTGTAGATAGGAAAGGTAAAAAAGCACCCAGCTTTGAAGAACCCCCCCTAGTGAAAATTGAATATGCACATCGCCTCAACTTTTCACAATCAACGATAATTAATACAATTATTAAGTTTTAACTCACATAACGATTTAAGGTAAAGGAAAGTGTTTTTCTTTAGAGCTTCAGGCAGTGCTCAAACCACAGAACCCACTGACAACGAGAAAGCTGAGCTGAAACCAGATGATGCTGAAGAAGATGTCAAGTTTTCTTCAGAGGAGCAGAAAAAGGAGAAAAGACCTTCCCTATCAAAAATCATGTTTGGACTTTATTGGGATAAACTTCTGCTGGCAGTTGTTTTTAAATTCCTGAATGATTGCATTCAGTTTGTACAACCTCAACTGTTAAGGTGAGTTAGAGTCTATTAGTAATAAGAGTTTTAGTTTTTAGAGGAAATTATTCAAAAACCTGATTTTTTAAAAAGCATTTTTGAAAATTTAGGATAATGGAAAGATTGTCTGATAGGATTTAGCTGAGACTTAAAAATCGATCCATGCGAATTATTCTTTGCTTTGGTGAAGCGCTAATGCTTGAAACTTCACTGAGCTTTGAAACCCTTTACGGTGGCCAATTTACGTTATCAACTCAGTTGATAATATCAAATTACCTTGTTATACTCTCCCACTGACGCAGCACCACAGTTTCTTTGGAAACTAATACCCCTTTTAGTACTGGGAATTAATGTCTATTCATTTATTACAGGTTGTTAATAGGTTTTATAGAAGATAAAGATAATACTGAAACATGGCGAGGGTACGTCTATGGCGTCAGCATGTTTGTAGTTGCACTAGTCCAGTCCATTTGTCTCCAGCAGTACTTTCACCTTGTCACTGTGCTTGGGATGAAAATCAGAACAGCTGTTATTGGCATGGTATATTCAAAGGTACAGTACCATTCACATGCAGCATTACACACGCTTGACTCGCGTGCAATTCTCGCATATTACTCGCGTCAAACACGCATACTGCACGTTACCACACGCAAATGCGTTTAAGCAAAAATTGCGCGCATAGTATGAAGTGATCAGGTCACAAACCCATCCAGCTGGAGCTTATCGCGGTTTCAGTAGCAGTGAAGAACTCGCATGCCACCAACTCTACCTACCCCAAACTTTCCGAACTCCTAACATTCTTGTCTTAATTTTAAGGCCCTTCTCCTGAACAACAGCTCACGTAAAGAATCAACAGCCGGAGAAATGGTGAACCTAATGTCTGTTGATGCACAACGACTAATGGATCTCCTTACCTATGTGAACATTTTGTGGTCTGGTCCGCTCCAGATTATTGTCTCGTTGTATTTCTTGTACAGTACAATGGGTCCATCGATTCTTGCTGGTGTTGGAGTTATGTTGCTACTGATTCCTTCCAATATTCTTGTGTCGCGACTTTCGCGAAAGCTTCAGGTACAGTAAAGAACAGCTATGGTTGAGTAAGACCCTTGTCTAGTACTACCAGCTTCGGGCCGTGAAAATGTAGTTAGAGCTGTTTTGACCATCCAAGGCCTTAAGCTTAACCTTCTTTTCAAAGACGCTATTTGGCGTACTTGCTCGGCAGAAATTAAAATTTTATTCGCAATTTTTATCTTTATCAACGTCGAGGTCCTTGTATACTTTCAAAGGTTGTGATGTTTTGGACAATTTCGGTAGTGGAGACGCAAAAAGAGGCAGAAGACAGTCATAACAAAGAAAACATTGGCGTACTTAGTGAGTTTATTTTGCATTAAAAAAGCCGAAAATACAAAAATTTAATCTCAGAGTGATCTGAGATTCCCTGCAGCGCTCGAAATTTAACAACTCATTTTTGATTCTTATCAAGGCGACATCTTTATGCTTTACGGTAATTCCTTTGCTGACCAAGCTTGTTTGATCAAGATGGCTGGATATCAGCCTCGTCCCTTTTTACGCTTTTTTATGGATCAAGACTTCGTCTTAGAAGATAAAAACGCAGAAAAAAAGAGAACTCGGCCAACGTCCCGCTATCTTAACCTTATACTTAGTCAATAATGCGTAGATATTATCACTTGAAATGGGGCCTCTCTTAATTAAGTGTAGCTTTGTGTTATGTTTAACTTACTTTAAAATCGTTCCTTTTGCAGGTGAAACAAATGGGTGCCAAAGATAAACGTATCAAAATGATGAATGAGATTTTGAATGGAATTAAGGTACGCTGGTAGAGAATCACTCCTAAATTTGAAGTGATGACTTGAAATGTTGTACTAGCGGCTGTGGTTTCTATGCATGTTAAGGCATTTTTGTCGTTCTCAGCGACCTAGATGACAAAATTTCATGCCTTTCAAAGTCGAGGCAAATATTTGGTAATTACGCAAAACTGTGCAAATTATCTGCACGAAGGTCAGATCGCAGTTTCTTGCGTAAACATGAGTACATGTCAATGGAAAAGTTTATAGAATAACTAAGGTGTTACGCGCATTCTGATCGCTTCGTTTATCATACTAATAAACCTGTAGTTATTTGTTGAATTCAAAATAGACCGCAGTTTCAATCAGTTTCCCGATAATTAAACCACTAAGGATGCTAACAGAACGCTTGAAAAGTTTGTAAATAGCTCGACTTCGGCTCGAGATTTAAAAACTTTGTTCGTGGTCTCCTAGCATTCCGTGTGGGTTTTTATTACAGCGATAAAGCAATGGAAAGTGTTCTTATACTGTAACTCTGGTCACCCTAACATCAGTATGCATATTCTCCAAACTGTTCCTTAAACATTTTCTAAGGTGCTGACAAGGAGAATTTGTAGAATAATCACGACCATCTTTACTTAGTGATCATTTCCTTTACTCCTGCGAGCTTAATGTTTGATTCAGGAGTGACATTTTACAGAAGCTAGTCATTCTTTGGGGTTCAATCGTTAAGGAATGTAGTTGTACGAATTTCTGTTTTTAAGGCAAATTTGTGACTTGTATCGTAAAATTTCAAACCTAATTTTTCTTTTTAGGTCCTCAAACTTTATGCTTGGGAAACGTCATTCATGAAAATGGTCTCTAAAATGCGGAAAACAGAGCTGCATCATTTGAGGAATTTCTCCTACCTTAACGCGTCATTCGCCTTTACGTTCACTTGTGCGCCATTTCTGGTGAGTAATGATAGAAAAGTAATAATAAAAATGGCTCATCTTGTCCGCTGTTTCCAGGTCGAATTGGAATTTTGAATGTTGATTTTTGCAGAGGGAGAAAAACTGAAGCGAGGACGAAAAGCAACCAAAAAAATCAGCCCATAAGGTCTGGGAGTCGAACCCAGGCTACAGCAGTGGGTGATAAGATTGCTGCCCTTTCTCCCCAGTCCCCCAAACGATGATGCAATAGTTTACGGATAATTTTGTCAACACCAGGCAACACGACTGGGGGAGAAGGGGAAGAGGGGGGGGGGGGGGAATGAAAGTTAGAGAAAAAATATTGAAGGCGTAGGAGAGCGTGCCAAGACTTTTGCATCTCCTTTTAGCGTGAGAGAGAGTGTTTTCATTTCATAAGTTTTGGTGTTGAAGTTAACCTTGTTTTCCAACAGGGGCTCATAAGCAGATTTACAGCGCGACATCAGCAGGAATTGATTTACATATGGTATTAAGCGATGAAGTATTTGTTTTGGAATATGGGAAGAATCTTTTTCAAAGGACTCTGCCGGAAAATTATAGGGCCCGAGGATTTTTTAGTTATCCTGAGAAATACAATCCAAAAACGGGCCTCGAAGGAATTAAATCACCATTACTTATTTTCCTCTCTTTCGCCTTTCAGGTTTCATTAGCTACCTTCGCGATCTATGTCATGACTGGGAATGAACTTACAGCATCTAAAGCTTTTGTTGCAATTTCACTCTTCAACATTTTACGTTTTCCCCTCGTCATGTTTCCAAATGTGATCATCAGCTTGATCCAGGTATTTAGCTATTTGGTCAAACTGTTTTTCTTCATCTGCTGATACAATTGCCTTTAGAACTTACATTAGCAGCGCTCCTAGCTGCGACCGATTTATATCCATTACAAGTAAGTAAAGATTCGCTTATCTTGCGACCTGTGTTAGACTGTCATACACCAAGCACTAGTGCTCTTTAATTAGGTTTTAGTGGTCGTAAGCAAAAATGAGAGGAGCATTTTCTTTTTTTTCTCGTGAGCTGTTAAAGTCCTTAACCTGTGAGATATCTCGTGAACCACCGTAAATGGTCGCCAGCCACGTCGCTTCTTTAAAAGGCACACGACGCGGTCGACGGAATAGCAAGTCAAGTTATGATACACAGTGTGTCTTCCAACGACCTTGAAAAAGTTGTTTTAAGTGCGCCACTCTTTTGTGCTGGAATCGCAACCATTACTGCTACTGTTGTTGTTGTTTTTGTTGTTGTTGTTTTTGTTGTTGTTGTTTTTGTTGTTGTTTTTGTTGTTGTTGTTTTTGTTGTTGTTGTTTTTGTTGTTGTTGTTTTTGTTGTTGTTGTTTTTGTTGTTGTTGTTTTTGTTGTTGTTGTTTTTGTTGTTGTTGTTACTCTTGTTCAATGTTAATTTACTCTTATCCTGCATCGCTAGGCACGAGTGTCCATCGTACGCCTGACAGAATTTCTTTTCCTAGAAGAACTTGATTCAGAGAATGTGGCGAAGAACATGCCGGAACACAGTGAGTGTAAACAATCTTTAGAGTGCTATTCAAATAAGGGTCGTGAAAGGTAAAGGTTAACCATTTAACTCCCATGGGTGACCAGGACAGAATTTCTCCATACAATATCTGTACAATATCAAGCAGACAAGTGATGAGATTAAGAAAAATGTCAGTAAGAGGATTATATTTGGTCCAATACCAAATTCCCCAAACTAACGTCACAAGAACTGTATGGCAGACAGTAAGGAGAATTACTAATGAGATCTTGGGAGTTAAAGGGCTAAGTCAGCAATCGTGCCTTGTGGCTCATCCCGCTGAAGCTTATCTCGGTTTCTGTAGCATGAAGAGTACTTTCCCCCCCCCCCCTTGGATGGAATGCTATTCCATCTAAGGTTACTCCCCCTCCCACTGGTATTTTGTCAGGCTGAACCTGAAGTTCACGAACAGGAGTCCAGTCCTCCAACCGTTAGGCCTCCGTGTAGTTCATCTCGGCTATGAGTAAAACTAAACTCAAATGGAAATCACAATGGCCAATCAGAACAACGGTAGCACACTGAGCGGCCAATGAAAGAGGCGCGAGTAATCTGGACCAATCACACAGTGAGGAAAAATTAAACCATTGCTGCCCTGGATTATTTTTCAAAACAAACTGAAAATATTTATGGTAATGTCCACAAAGTTAAACCCACTCCTGTTGCTCCATGTGCTCTTAATTTACAGTTAGCACACAAGACATCCACGTTGAGAATGGGACATTCAGCTGGGACACGAATAGCAAACCAGCTTTGAAAGAGTGAGTTGCTGTTTCCTTTTATTTTTAAAGAAAGATCAGCCTCCCAACCTCTCTCTGCATTACTGACTAAGGAAGAGGTAAATTCTCTTGCATGAAAAAGAAAAAGAACGAGGTTAATATAGAGAGATCTCGGCAACAACAATGTATGTAACAAAAGCGATTACCCAAGCATTGCAAAGTACATGCAAGAAACCCGCGTGGATTTCTTCCTTTTCAATGTCTAAGGATGTAATTTGGTGCTTTTGTTGCTAAAACTGAAAAACAGAAAACGAAAAGTTGTCGAGATGTTACAGGCTATGTAAATCGTTCACAAACACGTTTCTCTTCGCGGGATAAAAGCAGGCAGTCTCCAACTGTCAAGATGACTCGGGTAGCCAGTCATTAAACAGGATTTGCTTTATCTCTGCCGCTCGTGGAGCGAGCTTCATAGTAAATATCACAACTTATTTCGGAACTGTTTTTGTTTTTCACACAGCATTAATATCAACATTCCCAGTGGTTCTTTGGTTGCTGTTGTTGGCCAGGTTGGTTGTGGGAAATCTACTCTGCTCTCGGCTCTTCTCGGAGAAACGGAGAAACTGGATGGAAGGGTTTATGTGAAGGTACATTTATACATCTTATCAACTGAGTTCGGAGTTCGTATGAAAAGTCACGGATTGACGTGTTTCCAGTGCGCAATCGGTTGGGCAAAAACAAAGATCCTACATTGATTGTTTAGAATATGTTTTACAGGAATCTAAAATCGACCAAAACTTCAGTGCATATTGTAAATGTTTTCTTCCTTCTTAAGGGATCAATAGCCTATGTTCCCCAACAAGCATGGATTCAGAATGCAACTCTTAGGGATAACATTTTATTTGGAAGAACTTTTGAATCCAAACGTTACGCCAAGACAATCTACACGTGTGCACTGCAGACTGATCTTGACATCCTGCCTGGAGGAGATCTCACGGAGATTGGAGAAAGGGTAAAGTTAATAGAACTTTTGCCAAGCCACATACGTTAGTTAAAGTCGTAAACTTGGCTTTTGATATCGTAGCTTCCATTACTATGAAAAATGGTTACACTGGATAAAAATTAAAAGTTTTATAAATATTAGAATGTATTTTAAAATCCCGATGATTCGGCTAAGAACTCGGGGAAATTGATAGAGAAGAATCAACAAATAAGGACGAATTATATCGTGAAAAGCAAATTCTAACAATTGTTATTAATGAAGTCTTGTCCTTCAGCGTTAAAGTCAAATACACGTGTGGCAAATGAATGCCATCGTCTCGTTTGAGCGGGTCACTACACAAATCTTCATCTCACAAGCTTCTATAAATCGCTTTCAGTATCTACTGTGATAATATACCATTTGCACATAAATTTTTTCTTTCGCAAGCTGATGTGTTACTTTTTTGTGTAATCGTTGTAAACTGAAGGAGGAAGGAGTGAAAGATAATTATATGCTTTTCAAGTCACTCTTGTCATAATAAAAACATGTACTGCTTTCAATGCGTAGGGTATAAACCTTAGCGGTGGACAGAAACAGCGTGTAAGCCTGGCCCGTGCTGTGTACTTCAATGCTGATATCTACTTGTTGGACGATCCACTCAGTGCTGTGGACTCACATGTTGGAAAACACATATTTGATAAGGTCATAGGTCCAAGGGGAAAACTTAGAAAGAAGGTCAGTACATTTGAGACCAAGATGGCTTGTTTAAGACTAAGTTCCTTAATATAGTTTGTTAGCTAGGTGGCTGACTTGTTAGTAGAGTAGTTAGTTAGCCAGGCAGTCAGTGAGTCAGTTGGCGTGTTAGTTTATTTGTTCATTGTTTGTTTGTTTGTTTATATTTTTGTTTGTTTTAGGATTCTATGAGTCGAGATCTGTAAAAGGGTGTCTCAAGAAAGATTTTTTACTCGAAACGCTCTCTTGTGTACGTAGGTTTTAAAGAGACAGATCGTGGCTAATAAGGCTTAAAAAGGTTTCCTTATTTTAAAAACAAATTATATTATGAATAGTAGCTCCTTTCATTTGCTCCCTCGGAAACAAGAGGGGGGAGGGGAGGGGAGAGAGCACATAGTAGACTCAAAATCATGCTCTCCATTATGAAAACGGTATGTACGAAAAAGAGTGGCAGTATCAGTTTATCTACAAATTGATACATAGAAATAACGAAACTACCTTAAACCACCGTAAGTAGAGCCATTTTCTGAATTCCATTATGGTTGCAGTGGATGAAATCGCATTTCGATAGAATGGATGCTTTCATGACAAACATATTTTTGTAAACCCGCGGCACTTCGTCCTGCAAACGTAATATCAAATGCTTTGTCTGTGTTCTCGTCTTTGCCAGACACGTATCCTTGTCACACACGGGATTGCCTTCCTTCCCCAAGTGGATCAGATCATTGTCTTACAAGATGGCAGAATATCAGAGGTTTGTTTGTTTGTTTGATAGATGAACATTATTCAGCGGCTCCCTCATACAATAGATATGACAATTTTGTAGCCTGCAAGAAGCCACTCAATATTAGCGCTTTGGCATGAGCGTTTCCTCGCCCTCGGTTAAATATGAGGCCTGGGACAAAGCGTGAGCGTTTCTCGCCCGCGGGAAAATATGAAGCCTGGAGCAAAGCCAGCCGGCAAGAGGCCTATAAGTTATTGAGTACTGTTATTAGTGCCAGAGCACGGTAAATCTCTCCCTGACTCGTCTCAAGTCTTCCAGCGGGCGGAGAAACGCGCGTCCTTCTGCACTGCAAATTCTGAATCATTTAGGCTCTGCCCAGTCGACGTTGCCAGTTATCCTGTCAAGTGATAGATGACTGCAACAACTGAACGTTTTAGTAAATTTTTACATTTTTGGGATATGATTGTTTATGTACACAGGTCGGCACCTATACTGAGCTGATCAAGAACAAGGGAGCTTTTGCCGAGTTTTTGAAGACATATGCCACAGAGGAACAGACAAAACTTGAGTATGGTGAGTTGAATACAGTAGCAGTGAGTGCTAACTGACGGTTCTTGTTTTTTTTTCTTTTTATCTTCATACCCCTCCTCTGCTTCCTCATTGTTCTTCCTATCCTCTGCTGCCTCTGACCCTATTTTTTCCTCGTTTACCGTCGTGATCTGGGACTAGAGGACATGCCAATTTCCAACAAGATCAGAGTGTCACTTACAGTACTCATTTTAAAGGGAGATGTTTAAGATTTGTCAGAAGCTTCTTCATAGGACAAATAGACAGGGTCCTTCGTTTTTTTGGACAAAGACCTTCGGAGTTCTTGTTTAAACGCTATGTCAGTTGAGCTACAGAGATTTTTTTGGGGGGGGTTGAAATAAGTCGGAATATTTTCGTTTATATTGCGTGACAAGTTCGTGACAAGTTAACAGAGCAACCTCGCCTTATGCAAATTAATTTATCTCGCGTTAAAACGTCCCGGGATGTTTTCGATTTTGGTGGCGAGCGAGCGAGAAAGTTTGTTATTAATAAACCTGATTATCGGAAACCTTTAGTATATAGTGAGTTATTTGGTGTCATAAAAACGTTTTTCAAAGTAAAAAGAATGCTTTTGTCATCTCGGAACAGCCGAAGACCCTACGCCAGAAATAGTTGTAGAAGACGTGGAGGAAGTGGATGGTCAGTTCAGTTCAAGACTCAGCCTTGAGAGACTTGATAGTCACTCGGATGTCCAACGTCTGAAGCGAGCAGAGAGTATGTCGGTGATCACTGTGGACACTGCTGATTTAGACTGTCAGTTTACAAGACCAGATCAGGAGCAGGCTGACAGGATGATTGAAGAAGAGAAATCTCAAACCGGAAGGGTGAGATTCGGCTTTGGATAATTTTTTTAATTTCATGCAGTTGACTCAAGAAGAATGTGTATAGGTCAAAGGAAAGAAATTGTGGAGCAAAGGCTTCAAAAAGAGTTTCGGTTCTTGAAAAAAGTCCGGAGAATATCAAATTCATTTATTGGATCTGGAGAGCTTTTTAAAGAGAATCTGGAACAATAAATGGATTTACATGCCATGTTAATATCCCAAACCAAACTTCACATGATCTGAATTTTGTGGCAACAAAGTTGTCAGCATCAAAGCCGTTGGCTGAATTTTTGTCGGTCATTTGGCAATAGCCTTTTACGAGTGCTATCAGAGTATTTCCAAACTAGAGAGAACACCTTGACAAGCCCCATTCCACTCAGGCTCGCGTCCTTGCCTCGAGTCCTAAATCTTCATGGTTTGTAAAAAATCTGGTAAAGTTTTGAATTTGGAAACTTAATTAACCTTATGAACATCTCCATGATAAACCATGTTTCAGTTAAGGTAGTAAGTCTTAACATGTTTTTTTCTTCCAGGTGAAACTGAAAGTGTTCTGGGCCTATGCAAAGTCTCTCACAGTTCCCTTGTCCATTTGCGTCGTTTTTTTCTTAGTGCTGGCAGAAGCTGCCTCAGTCTCCTCGGGAATTTGGCTCGCTCGGTGGAGCTCCACGGATGTAACTTCAGACGACCAACGCGATCTTTTTCTTGGTGTTTACAGTGCTTTAGGCGTGTCCCAGTGCGTGTTAGTGCTGCTGCAAGCCTTAGCTCTGGCGACTGGAACAATAATAGCGTCCCGCTATCTTCATCAAAGAATGCTGGACAACATTCTGCACTCACCTATGTCGTTTTTTGAGACCACTCCACAGGGGAGAATCATGAACCGCTTCTCTAAGGACATCAGTGGCATTGATGATATGGTGCCTAGGAGCGTGTCATCGTTCCTGCGGACGTTCTTCGCCGTCATCGCCTCAATATTCACGATAAGCTTTGCCACACCCATATTTTTGGTTATCATTGTCCCTCTGGGATTGTTGTATATTTTTATACAGGTACGTTACCACTCATTGTGTTGTGTTTTTCGGTAACGCAATTAACTTTCACAGTGCCTCGCTTCACACAGATGTAATATCCTGTCAAGGGATGGCAGGGAGAGTAATGTTTCTAGTCGTTTTATGCCACTGAAACCAGCATAAAATCGCATAGCACGGCCACTCTGGCACATAAACTGATCTGATCTTTATCTATAGTTGGTAACAGGTCTCCATGAGACCTGGTTGCTACAGGTCCGGAAAAGGTAACCTTATCATGGTCAGGGAATGAGGTAAAATTGGGAATTTAAGAAAAGTTCAGGAAACTTAAAATTATTATCGCTGAACTCATCATATTTTTGGTGTTTTTTTCGTCTCGTTGTAGCCATGATAAAAATAGCATATTGTGATAGTCATGCACAGGGAAGGCTATGATGGAAGACTGGATGCTTCCTCTATGTTTGTTAGATTATCTAAGCATGTGGTCTGAAAAACATTTTTATCAAGGAAATCTTGAATAAGGGACTTTTGAAAACTGAGAAGTGGGTAACGGTGGGGTCTAAGTAAGGTCCTGGGAATGAGCTCACGTGGACACTTAGCGGCTCATTTCAGGAACAGAGCTTAGGGTAATGAACCACTTGAATGAAAACATCGTAATCAATTATTTCACCTCCCTTGCTAGGCGAAACTCAAGAAAAACAACATTTGCGATTGAAGCCAGTTTGTTCTCCTTTTTGAAAATAAGAAGGAAATGTAATTGTTTTTGTGTTGTCGGTTTTTCTTTAGAGGATATACGTGGCAAGTTCTCGTCAGCTGAAAAGGATTGAGTCTGTCAGTCGTTCACCAATATATAACAATTTTTTGGAGACCATCAACGGAACCTCCACCATCCGAGCCTTTGCTCAGCAACAGCGCTTCATACAAGGCAACTATGCCATTGTAGATGAGAACCAAGTTTCCTACTATCCCTCAATATCATCAAACAGGTAAAAAATATAGTGATGGCAGAATGCCAAGGCGGCTATTCTTATAAGTGATCAAGTAATTACTTACGGGTCCGTTTTTCAAATGGCCCTTACTGCTTTTCGGGTGTTCTTTGCTACTTTTTCAATCCCGAACACTTAAACTTTTTTTTCGGTTAGAACTTGAAGTTCTCCAGTATCTGAGAAAACGCAAAGGTTGTGTGACGAATCCCCTTATTCGCCATTTAATACATACATCACTAAATTCATTCATTCACTCACTCAGCCAATCAGGGATTCCCTCTCTCTCTTCCTTGAACAATATATCTACTTATTTATATATATATATTTTTTTTATTTTCAGGTGGCTCGCTATACGTCTGGAGTTTATTGGTAACTTGATTATATTTTTCGCTGCTGTTTTCGCTGTCGTTAGCCGCAATTCTTTACAAAGTGGTCTCGTTGGCTTATCAGTTACGTATGCCTTGCAGGTAAGTAGTTGACTTGTCGTGGTGCTGAATCATTAAAAAGTGACAACAATGGCTATTACTATCTGATTGTACTACAGCCAAGCGAATGTCTGAAGTGCTGCTGTACTGTTTTAAAAACCTCGAGCAATCCTATCCGTCAATCGGATGTAGAAGTGAAAAGTAATCTCGACATACCTTTTTTTGTTTTTCTTCTCCAGCGTCTCTGGAGTTGGTTTGTTATTTCTTTGAGTTCTCATTGGAACCTTGTGAAATTTTGTTTTTTTCTAACTCGCTTTCGTAATAACTTTGGATTTGGCTTTAAAGCGCTCAAAAGAAATCCGCTCTAAAATGGTTTCCACCGAGACACCGATTGTTTTGTTTCTGGAAACTAGCGAAGTCGTGTTCTGCTTGGACTTAACAAACGAACCGAAGCAAATCAACTCAAGAACAACTTTCAAGATCCAAAACAAAAAATTTAATAGAAATTCTCGAACTAAACAAGATTTCTTTGAAGAAAAGTCTTAATAAACTTAACAATAGTGCGTTTTTCTTGTTGCAAGGTAACCCAAACGCTTAACTGGATGGTGCGAATGAGCAGTGATCTGGAGACGAACATTGTATCGGTAGAACGAGTGAAGGAATACTCAGAGACTCCCACTGAGGTGTGGTTTGATCTTAGAACTGATAAGACATTTATGCCATGTGAAAAATTGTCCCATTGCTTTATAGACGTTAATCTGGCTACGTTTGGTCTGGTATTAAAGTGTTCCTTAAAGGGATCGTGCGGATCATGAATCTGGAAAGACATGGATTTTTTTTTAATTGTAGTGGTGTTTATTTAATATTGCGTTTATGGTGTGGATGCTTTTTTAGGCTGAGTGGATTATTCCAGATAATCGACCCTCAAAGGACTGGCCCGAGGCAGGAAACATTGTCATAGAAGAGTTTGACTTAAAATACAGAGAAGGTTTACCTCTTGTGCTGAAGCAGATCAATTGTGATATTAAGCCGGGAGAAAAGGTGTGTTGAAAACATTCTGTATCAGTAAAGAAAACCAGTGCACGTGTACCGAGAAATTCGACAGTTTCATAGCTAATGGTTTGCTGTCATCCTGTACTGATCCCTGAGAATGTATCATAAACACGGCTTGTATTTTTTTTCTTAACTTTAAAGCGTTTTATTTTCATTAACCATCTAATTGATGGTCATGAGAGATAGGATTGAAGGGCTCAAAGGAAAGCCTTCATCTTTCAACACCTTCTGGTCGCCATATTTTTTTCTTTGCCTATATTAATCTAAGCAAGGTTTTCCCTGACAACTGCACTTATCACGGAAACCTTCCTAGTAGAACTGCAGTTTTACTTACGAAGTTTACATACATTTCAGGTCGGTATCGTCGGTCGCACAGGTGCAGGCAAGTCAACTCTTACTTTAGCCTTGTTTCGTATTCTTGAGAGGGCTGGTGGACGAATTGTTATCGATGGTGTGGATATCGCCAAGATTGGTCTTCAGGATCTGCGGTCACGGCTTACTATCATTCCACAGGTAGACTAAAATACTTGGGCACTACATAAGTTTGCATCGCGAACATATAGATTGGTGAACCTATGTCACTGTGTTCACGGAAGTATAGAATGACAAGCTATTAATGGTTTTGATATCACTGATGAAATTCTTTTTTTTAGAAAACGTATTGTTATTGTACATAGAATTTAGTTATGGTTGTATCACCATTTTTTTTTTTTTTTTTTTTTTTTGCGATGTAGGATCCCGTGTTGTTTTCTGGAACGCTACGTGTCAATTTGGATCCGTTTGACAGTCACACGGACGAGGAGCTTTGGAAGATTCTAGAGATGAGTCATTTGAAGAACTTTGTGTCAGGACTGGAAGAGGGTCTTTTACATCCCGTGACTGAAGGAGGCGAAAATTTAAGGTAATAAGTTTGGAATGATGAAGGGCTAACGCTCGAAACGTCAGCTTTGGAACTCTTTACGGCGGCTAATTTACGTTTTCAACTCAGTTGATAATACTAAATTACCCTAATATACTCTCCCACCGACGCAGCACTGCAATTTCTTTAGAAACTTACCCCCTTTATTTATATTTTCTCACACTGTTTTAAGTGCTTATCAATTAAGAAATAGACCATTTCCAAGATGCTCAAATCCACTGCTTTAAAACGAGGTAAAGTTTAAAGTCTTTGATGAGAAAATGACTTTTATATTTGTATGTACATAAAACTTACTGCGTCTGAAAAGTCTTGCACTCGTCTTCATTTTGAATGTTGGGATTTTTCGGACATTTTTACTGAATATCCAGAGATAATCGGTCATTTTTGTCATTCTTTCAGTGTTGGTCAGCGGCAATTGGTGTGCTTAGCGCGTGCGCTGCTCCGTAAAAGTAAGATCCTGGTTCTAGACGAAGCCACGGCCGCAGTGGACCTGGAAACTGATGAACTCATCCAGCACACGATTCGGCGAGAGTTCGCTGACCGCACTGTGTTCACCATTGCTCACAGGCTCAACACTATAATGGACTATACAAGGTAAAGCATTCCTTAGTTCATACTTCTCTTTGCACTCGTTACATGTCTCCTCACATGTTGATGCAGTAAGGATAAAGCTTTTCCTAGCGGTGATACAATGAAGGGAGAAGTTGAGTTCCAGTCTAGAAAGAATTCCTCTTTTGCTTAATATTTGTACGGTACTGAATGGAAACTTAACTGAATTCTCATTACGTGGCCGTGGCACTTTTGGTTTCCTTCTGTGAAGGTTATACTCAGCCGGAATTGTGAATAGTTAAGTCGTATATCTTTTGGGTGAAATGAGTGAATTCTAATTCATGTGCTATTAGCAACTGCGAACCTACCCCTCCCTTAACTCAACAACAGTCAACCGGTAACAAGTTTGGGTTAATATTGGGTTAAGGGAGGGGTAGGTGCATAGTTGCTCAGATTCTGACTTTGATCCCTTTTTTTCCTCAAGAGGAGGAGGTCTCGGAGTGAACAGAACTTTGCACTGAGTGATATGTGAGTCTATTGTTGTTGTTTTTTTCAGGATCATGGTGCTGGACAAAGGTTTCATGATGGAGTTTGACACTCCACAGGCTCTGTTGGCTCAACAGGGAATCTTCTACAAAATGGCTCGTGACGCTGGTCTAGCTTGAGGAGCTAGGCACCTTATGACGGCATCACAAAGCGAAAGTGCCTCTGAAGGAAATCGGGAAGAGTGGCTACGTAGGCATTACTTTTGAGCTGATGCACGATGCGCTTATGTTATCACTGACCTATCGGAAAGGATATTTTAACAGTATCAGCGTAAAAAGAAAAGGGAATGATATCTGCGATTTGGGTCCTAGCAGACAACTTGGCGTGAATTGTGTGGTGTTGGGCTGATCTCGATTAAGGGAATGTTTATTTGGCGATTACAAGTAATTGTTTTGCGTCCGTGCTCTTGAATTGCCTTCTCCATAATATTCTTATCCACGACAAAAAATTCGTTTGGAAAATTATCCTTCCCCTTTTCACTTCATCTATGTCTTTCCCGCTCCCCAGCCCCCCTTTTCCTCTCCTCAACCCCCATATATTGGTTTCAGGATTTTCTTGGCAAGATTTGTTGTCCCTCTCTCTCCTCATCCAGTCCAGGCTTTAAGAAGTGTTCTATGTTGTCTACTTTTGGCCGGACGTGGCGTTGTAAGGAGTCCTTAAGTGACAACAGAGTCAGTGTCAAACACAAAGTATATTTATTAATGAAAAACTGTATTCAAACAACCAGAGAACATTACTTGTTAAATCTAATCTTAATATGACACGTTTTAAAAATAACGTGGTCATCCTCATGACGTGATGTAAACAAAGATGTTTTACATTCCATAACATTTCTATCTGTCCAAGGCTTACTTCATCACAGTATTTTAAACTAGGAATTAAACTTAAGTATTATATTTACAGAATCTGGTTTTTTACTAAGTGGCTATGGACCTGGTAACAAGGAACATAGTTTTTGGTCTGTGCAATAGGCACTTGTAAATATTTCAAAGACTTCAAATTGCACTTTTTCTACGGGCCCGTGCAATTTTCTTGTCTTTGAAAAATTTACCCGTGCATATTAACTCCATATTGTACTTGAAATTATGTTGTTACCTATACTGACATTGAAGCGGTTATTTTTCAGATAATTTATAAGACACAGAAAAAAAACCTAAGGCGAATGACGAACGCTCGGAAAGTCAGTTTTGAGACTCTACAGTGGACAATTTACATCATGAACTCAGTTAATAATACCAAATTACCTTGTTTTTCTAGCCATAAGCTGGTATCTTTAAGGACAACATGATAGCAAGCTCAACCTAGTCTTCATTTAGTAAAATCACTTCGTCGCTGTTTGCATTTCTGTCCTTCGGTCCTCGAGTAGTCATAGAAGTTTCAATGATGAATTTTTCCACAATTTTCGGAACCTTTTCCTTTATAGCCCTTGCTCGCAATTTTTTCTGCCATCCTCCATCAATGTAGATTGCAACGATCTTTGGAAACGATAAAGTGAGAAACGTTAACAAAGTTTTCAACAAAGGCGTTGTGTCAAAGCTGAACACCATAGCCAACGAAAACACAATAAACACAAAAGACACGATCACTGTGATCTTCAAAATTAGTATGCAGACGCCTTCTCTGAGAGGCGAAAGTTCTTCGCATGCCATTTCGAAGAGCTCTTTTGGAATTGCTATCAGGTTGTCAAGATCGTGTGTATTATTAGGTAGTTTTGGCAGCTGATCAGAGGTGGAAGGAACATCTTGAAATTGGGTTCGTTTTGAGTCCTTGCAACAATCGTATAAAGCCAGGGCAAGCTCGTGGTATGTTTTCTTAAAACAACTGTAGCTTGACCAAATGTAATACAAAACAAAAACGAAACAAGCCACGTAAGGGAGATTTTCCTCTGAGAAAGAGAGCACGAAAAATATACTAAAGCATTCAGAGCACCGGAAGCTGTTAATAGCAAAAGGTTAAAGACACCAAACCATGAAACGCACGAGAGAGCAACATGTATAAGAATAAAGAGGATGAATAATGAATTCGGCATTTTTAAATTTAAATTACTCGGTCTGTATAGAACCATGCTCAAGGCAGCTGCAGGAGAAGTGAAAAGAATGGCAGTGGAGGTTAATAAACTTACAGCAATCAATAATGCTACTGCCACAACGGGTATACAGAGCAACAAAGAGATAAATAGTAAAAGACGAATCACAAAGGCTCGAGAACATTTGCAGGAAGGAATCACCGTGGGAGACATTTTAAAATAATTTAGCAAAGACCGTTTGTAAAACCTCCAACATTCTACCAAGATCAAAGGTTGGAAGCGCAAATGGTTTTCAATTAGCCGAGGAAGTTCGTCTTGACAAGAAAGGGTTTCTGGCTTGAAAAACTTACAAAGGAAACAAGGCTTTGCTTTCAATGACCTTTTCGAGAAAAATGATGTGTAAAAAGCCTGAAAACAATAACAAAAACCAGACACTATGAAGAGTCTTATGTATGATGACATTTTGAAAAGACCGTCACGTTCAAAATTCGCAAAGGCAGTTGCACTGACAATAAATGGAAGAGGTATGATAAAAACTCTCAAAATGAATGTTTTTGCTTTGCACCAAATTCCCTTTTTTCCAGAAAAGAAATAGTTTCCCGCAAAGCTTCGGAGACTGACGGGACTTGCTCCCTCAAGAATGATATGAGTAACGCCATCTTGCAAGATTTCCGTCGGGTAGAACAGACAGAGAAAGGCCAGAGAGTAATACTGGAAAACTGCGATGAAGACAAAAGAGAAGAAAATCAATACCGTCTTTGGCCATTCCATGTGATTCAAATCAACTTTAAGCCATTCCACGAGACTGAAAGGTACTTTAAGTCCTTTAGTGCTGTTCTTCCATGAGTCTGGTATAATTACATTCATGCATGGTCCAAGAGAAGCAGCTGTCACAAATTGATAAGATGACAAATTGATAAGATGACAAATGGCGGAAGAACGTCTTATGTAGTTCTTAGGGCTTGCAACAGTTGTGTTTGCAGGTTTTAAGGTACAAATGGCGCGTATTTCTCTGTGTTTTATTTGAAGAAATTCATTTACCAAGCTTTCATTCGCTGTCATCAAGGAAACGAGTCGTTTGTTTACCAAGCAGACGTGACAATATTCAGAAACGTATTCACTTGAGTTAACAGATGTCTTATTCGCACATTTGTCGTCCACTATCTTCTCGTATTGAACACCAAGCCTAATCGCTTTCTGGTTCGATGTTGAGGTCTCCATTTGTCGCTTAAGCCCCGTTAGATCAGCCTCGTGGACAGAACAGTTCCAGATACATCGGATTTCAGGGCTGTAGCCAAACGAGTTGTTCGCGACGTTAGCTAGAGCAACTATCAAAACCACTCTCCGAATTTGGGAAATTGATGGCATCCTCAAGGATCGATGGATGGACACAACCGTCTAAATGAGACTGAAGTTATTTAAAACTCAACTCTAAAGTCGTGATGATTTGCTAGGTTTCCAATGACTGCACAAGCCGATAAATTTGCCGAATAAGCTCAATTTACGCTCGCTTGCGTTTTGATACATGTTTACTAGGCAATAGTTAAATTTTGAATTGGAAACTGACATCCGAAATTGAAAGTAAAATCATCACTGTTTACGACGCTAGCCAGGGCAACTATGAAAACCACTATCCGAATTTGGGAAATTGATGGCATCCTCAAGGTCGATAGATGGACACAACCGTCTAAATGAGACTGAAGTTAGTGAAAACTCAATTTTCCCTTTAAACTAAAGTTGTGATGATTTGCAAGGTTTCCAATGACTGCACAAGCCGATAAATTTGCCGAATAAGCACAATTTACGCTTGCTTGCGTTTTAATACATGTTTACCTCGCAATAGTTAAATTTTGAATTTTATAACTGAAATTTGAAATTTGAAAGTCAAGTCAACATTGTTTTGTTATGGGAGACTTTAATCCAAACCTTCTCTAATACAATCATCATGTTCCAACGCAGGAATTTACTGACAGCTAATTTTCACACGCCTTTCTTCCTCTCATCTCCAATCCAACGCACCTCACCACATACTCTGCGACACTAATTGACAACATATTCACCAACAATCTTACACATAATGTTTTTAGTGGCATTTTTCTAAATGTGCCACCATACTATGGTGGCCAAGAGCGAAAGTTTTGCAGTTTTTCTGAGACTGAATAAAAAATAAAAGAAAAATAAATTAAAACTGAAAGTAAAATGGAACGTGACTGCAAAACAAAGGAAAAAGAACGATTGAAAGTAAAATGAAGTAGAAATCAAATTTAAAAGCAAAAGTAATTGCATTATCAAAGTAAAAATCATTTGAAAATAAAACTGAAATCCAAGGGCAATTCACGTCGAAATAAAAAATAAATTCTACATCCAATCAAAACAAAAATCAATGTGAATATCACTGTGGCCGAGGGCTGCCACCACCATGATACTGTGCGGGCGTGATTGCATATCCCATCATGCGTTGTGTCCTTTTACTCAAGTTGTGAAGTTGTTTTGGTCTTGCGTCATTTTAGAAGAGTCTCTTAGCATTTCGATGTCAGATTTCAGAGAAGCCATGTGGAAAAATAATGCCGACCTTAAAGAGGCTTTGCTGAAATACATCGGGCAAGGATTACAAAGACGAGAGATGTTGGATTTCCTCACTCGTGGACTTTCCACTTTACGCGTGGAGTCTAAGAACGCATGATAGAAGGCTTCGTCATTTTGACATATTTTTCAATGATGGTATTGTTAAAGTAGATCAAGTAACGAAGGTAGTTGAAACTGAGCTAAACGGGCCTGGAAAGCTATGGGATACCGCGCAATGTACAAAAAAATATTTTGACGAAGCAACTCTAACGCGCTGCACAGAAAGGAAAATTATGATGCGCACATTTACTGACGATAATTTGCATAAATTCAACGAGAACCTTTCAAATGCAAAATGGTCCTCATTTCGCAACATGGAAGATCCCAATGAAGCCTATAATGATTTCACTGAAGAATACTCCAGAATCTACAATACCTGTTTCCCTTTAAAAGTTCTCAAAAGTAAACAGTTCTTTTCTCCATGACTTAGCTCTGGACTTCTAAAATCCGTTAACAAGTAGAACAGACTCTACAAAAAGGTAAACCCCTAAAACTATCTAACATATATAAATTCCTTGGGATCTATATTGACGATCATCTCACCTGGAAACACCATATCAGCTATGTATGTAAACAAATCGCTAAATCAATGGGTATTATACTTAGGTCTCGCTTTTTCCTATCCTCCACAACCAAACTCACTCTGTACCACACCTTAATTTATCCTTATATCGTCTATTGAAACTCCGCCTGGTCGTCCACATACGTACCTAACTTAAATAGAACTTATTATTTGCAAAAGTCAGCTGTGCGGGCTATCACCAACTCAGACTAACGAGCCCATTCCGCTCCTTTATTCTCCAAACTAAGAATTTTAGATGTTTTCCAGGTCAATACGTTTGAAATCGCCAATTTTATGTTTTATTATTAACGAATAGCCAAATTCAAATATATGGTACCAGAATAGCCAGTAATTATCGAACGCGTTTGTTCCGTACAAATCTCAAGCAATTTACAATTCTCTACTAAGGTCCTAAAATTTGAAACTCTCTTCCTGTTTCAGTCACTCGTTCGTGAAACCTTCTTAGCTTTAAGACGAAAATGCTTAAGTTTTTACTTAAATAATCACTGAATTGGCCGAGCCGCACATTCGCAGCACTTTTTCAGTCTTTACTTGATTTATTATTGTAAGTGAGGTGGCTCTTCTATAAGCCCGGTGGCTTCCTGGGTCTCCTCGCCTTACAGCTGATAACGCTGTAAATATATCTTTGTATTGTCAAAATGGGGAAAATGAAGATGATGATGATGATGATGATGACGATGAAGTAAATCC